TGCTCCAATTCGAACAGCATTGTCTGTCATGCCTCAAAGTTCTGTTTGTAACGAAGTAATGGTAATTAGAAACACACCAGTTTCAGTCTGCAGATGATATGAAAATACACTATAGCTCTTATTTGATCCTCATCAATTCTCCTCTTCTAAATTTAACAAATTAAATCATTATCGTTTGTCAAAAAAGATAAAAATAAATAAATAACACCACTCTCAGACTCGCACTTTCATCGAATACACCGGTCCCAGTTCACACCGGCACTGCCGACACCGAATTATTTGTGTTTTCTTATTTATGAAAGAATTAATTAACTGTTTTAAGGATCCACCACAATTTTTGCTATAATTAATTAAGGGGGTCATAAATTAATTTAACTCTATGTTGATATACCCCCACAACCCAGTATGTGGAAGCAATTTCTCAACTGCCAAAAGGGTGTGAAATAAATTATGTATTTAATTTAACTCAGACATATAATTACTTAATAGTGATTATAGCCCTGTCGAAATTTTCAAAATCAACGTACAGTTGAGGCCTTAGCCCTGGCACAATCTGGCGAAGGCAGTTCTGCCGTACAAAAGAGCAGAAGATCCGTTATAGAGCCTCGTTGAAGAACACGAAGAAGACCTAATATTCTTTTCCTAAAAAAGTAGAGAACAACACGTAATATTCTTTTTCTAAAAAAGTAGAGGTGGTATATAGTACTACAATTTAGAAATATTTCTTTTTATTTGTAAGCGAGAGATTTTAGATTCGATTTTCTCCAAAGGCGAATTTGAACCATATGTTTGCTAGCTCATTGTGAGACTTAACTCAGTCCACACTTCGTTTGTTAAAGAAAAGAAAGTAGAGGTGAGTTTTAATTCAGAGTCTAATAGTACGTAGTCATCACATGTGATATTGAAATTACTTGAGAAGGGGATTAGTCTATGAAAATCTGTGAATTTATAACACTTTAAAATCTTTTAAAATCTTAATTGAATACAAGCCCCTAAAACTTGAAGGTTCAAACAAAAAAAAAAACTATGATTTTATTGTTCCGTTGATGTCAAATGTTGGAAAACTCACGCAAATACATCTATAAGAAGACAATGATGTATTGTAATTCGCTCAAAGTTAAGTTAGGCTCACGCTGCTATAGTTTTTGTTACACTATGATAATGTTGGTTACATTGTACAAGAGTTTGATAAAGGAGAGTCTAGGGTTACTATATGAGAATTCCTTAATATGATACCGACAATATACCAGTGATAGTGAAGAATGGGATTCAAACTTCGAGTACAAGTGAAAATATTCTTAATCAATTGAGCCACAAGTTTTTGATCAGCCAGATTATAAAATTGAACAACCCAAAGTCATAAAAATTACCATGCACGTGAAAGTCGATCATTATGAAATTCATCACTAGCAGTAATACTACAGTGATGATCAATGAATACGTCTCATATGATCTCACCAGCCATCTCATATTGCATGTCAAGAAATTAGATCAACCATGAATTCACTGTAAAGAAAGTTAATTTGATAACCAAATGGGAGGGTCGTCTTTACATCTTGGGGTGGTAATTTTATTACCCTGAACCGAAACTTTTTAACTACTTTACCACCATCTTCAATACCATTAATTGCATTAAGTACTATTTCTGAATTTCTATAGGTTCTTATAATTTGTAAGAGAATGATAATGAAACTCTCTTAAAAGTGAGACTCTCTGTGGACTCTATGTCACCTCATATTTTTGGTACAATATTTTATAATGTTGACACGAAAATTGGCAATAAAGTGTGAGGTGACGGAGAATTTATGGAAAGTCTCACTTTAAAAAATCACCTTGGCATTTCAAATTGTAATTAGAGTTGATTTTCTCTCTGCATGCATGCAACGTGCTTATTATGATACTTAATCTTTACGTAGTGCATACCGCTGCGGACGCATTCATATTTTGGTGAGATAGAAATAAGTGCATTCAAGGATTTTTGTTCGTTTGTAAGTAAATGAATCACAGTTTGGTAAGTTTAAACATATATACGTAAGCGCTCAAGTGCTAATCAGTTTAGTAAATATGGTGCTAATAATTCGTTTAGACATGTATGCTTTATAAAGTAATCTCATAATCATGATTGTGTATTTTCTAAGTCATTATTCATTGATTATCCTTGATTAACAATACAACATAATGTATATACTATAATATTATGTTTAGCATCCCCAATCCCCAATGCTTGGAATGGTACATGAACGTAGATATGGTGTTGAGAGTATCAATCACATCGGGAAAATAATAAATCTTGCATGTGCTTATACTGTCCATATTAGGCAATTAGTTTTATGGTGGAACTTCAATTTTCTTCATGGTATCATGCAGGTTGTCCTTCGTGTGAAGCCCAACAGCCACGAGTGCTCCACGTCACACAATTTGTGTTGCCCACATGCTATAGACTTGAAAATCTGCCACATGTGAGGGGACATGTTGAGAGTATTAATCCGACATCGGAAAAAGAAGGGATCTTACATGTATTTATAAGTAATTTGACTACTTCTCATATTGCCAACTGGTTTTATGATGGAACTCCAACTTTTGAAAATAGCAATTTAGCTAATTTTGCACATTATTGGGGTGTTAACCTAATGGCCCATAGATCAACATCTTCACAGCGTTCACACGGTTTTTTACATTGATTTAGAAATGGTGGCATTCACACGGTGTTCTACATTGATTTAGAAATTGTGTGAACTGGACTGGCCGTAGCATAGAGTTATGCATTTATCAGAATGCTAACAATATTTTACCTAAAATAATCTGAAGAACGTAGTACTCTTTTACAAATCCTAATTATTTTACATAAAATTGTCGAAATATGAAGTATTCTGTAGTGATACGTACAGTACGTAGATATGTGTTGATTATATATAGCTGGACGCATTTACAGAACATACTTACAATTGGTCGGGTAATAAAGTCCGACTTTCCACCCCTGTTAAAATCTTAAATTTGAAGCAAAGGGTAAAAGCTCCCTCAACTATCAGCTCTAGCTCTATAACCTCCAGTTCACAAATTCACACTGGCCAGTAAGTCTGGCAATTAATTGGCAGACATGCATTCACAAAATAGCAACAATATACAAGCAAACAGCCACAACATTGCAATCATCGTGGTTTGTATGTGCCTGTCGATTATATTCGCTGCTACAATGTACAATAATTTTAGTTGGATTTGAAAAAGTATGCGTCATGAATTGGAGGAGCAATATTGCTTTAGCTAGCTCTGATACCCTTTGAAAATTAAATGCCCTCACAGTTTAAAAAACGTTCGTTTGTGCAAGTTTTTCAATTGAAAAAAAAAATCAACAGTTTGGGGGTTTAAGTACCAACGAGCGTAGGATTATAGCACGATTAAAACCCAACAAATTTGTAATAGGCTTGTAGCTCAGTTAATTAAAAGCATTATCTCTTACGCCTGAACAGGGACGGAGAGCTAGAAATTTCTTGTAATGGGGCCTGAAAAACAACTAATTCACAAAACCTTATTATGGTATGCCTTATATCCAATATAATAATGGAGATGATTCCAAATGATGATATATCACAATTTCAATGTTATAGAAATTTTCATGCTGTAACCCAAAGTGGATAGAAAAATATTAATACATGAGAGGCGGGAGAGGGGTTTATCTGTTTGATGATGGAACAATAACACTTTTGCTCATATAATATTTGACATTAGATACATATACTTTCTTCAAATATAACAGGTGTATGTATATAACTGTAGTCTGCAACTTAATAATGAATTACTTGAGTGGAGCATCTGCCCCCAATGGACCTTCATTGGCTCCAGTCATGCATCGAGGTCCCGAGTTCTTATGCCCTCTCCCAAAATTGCTTGTATAAAAAAAAAAAAAAAAATTCTTGCAATAAAAAAAGCCCTAAGAGTAACGCTATTCATACCATGTTTTTATACCACATTTTCATATCACCTTAGGTGACATTTGACGTGGGCAGCCACATCATTTGAATTAATCAGATTTTTAAATTTAGTTCATTATTTAATAAACTAATAATTAAGAGAAACTAGTTAATTAAATGATGATTGTGGTATACGAGGAGTCTTTATCCTTCATTTCCTTGGGTTTTGCAAATTTTTCAAATGATGTGGTTGTCCATATCACATGCCACCTAAGGTGGTATATAAATATGATATAAAAACATGATATGAATAACATTACTCAAGCCGTAAATATTATGTAGAGTAATGCTATTCATATCATGTTTTTGTACAACATTTTCATACTATCTTAGGTGGCATTTGATGTGGACAACCACATCATTTGAATTAATCAAAATTTTAGATTTAGTTCATTATTTAATAAACTAATAATTAAGAAAAACTAATTAATTAAATGATGATTGTAGTATACGAAGAGTCTTTCTCATTTATTTCCTTGGGTTTTGCAAATTTTTCGAATGATGTGGTTGTCCACATCAGATGCCACCTAAGGTGATATAGAAATGTGGTACAAAAATATGGTATCAATAGCATTACTCTACTATGTAAGGACATTCCTAAACTCAAATGCTAATACATACAAGTATATATTACGTACTGAATGATAAAGTCAAATTTCACAACTGCATCCTTTATATTATAAGACAAAATATAAGTCGTCATCGCCATGACAGATGTCTAAGAAATTTAATTAGTCAGGTTTATGATAAGTTTACAAATAATTGTGATTCAATTCTCCGACAACTACTCCCACCATATCATTAAGATCGAAAAAGGTGTCGAGCGGGGGAGCCTGCAAGTATACAAATCGTATGGGCAATTGTACAATGCACAATCATATACAGGTTACTAATGCTGGTGAGAGTTAAATTGAAACCCCACCTACTATTTCAATTGCAAAATCAAACCACTGGATGGACGCTACATGTCCCCACATACTATTTAGTTCCTTATGTATCGTTTATATATATATTGGCATCACCCTTTCTGGTTTTCCAACATTTTTCTAGGCCAAATTAAGCTTTGAGAGATCATATATCCTTGCTTTACAGGCTTAGAGCTACCTAGCTAGCTAGGGTTTCAAATTAAATGGGGAGGTCTCCATGCTGCGAAAAGGTGGGTTTGAAAAAGGGACCGTGGACTCCAGAAGAAGACCAAAAGCTCTTGACTTACATCGAAGAGCATGGCCATGGAAGCTGGCGAGCTTTGCCAGCAAAAGCAGGTGATGTACAATAATCCTCCACGCTAAACTTAATTAACTTGTCTTAAGAGTAAATAATAAAAGAAAAGGTTATAAGTGAGACATGCATGCAGGAGATAATTCCTTTTTAATTTCATGCGCGTCCGTGTTAATTTTGGGTGGTTTTGTGATGTAAAATAGGGCTCCAAAGATGTGGGAAGAGCTGTCGACTGAGGTGGACGAATTACCTGAGGCCCGATATCAAAAGAGGAAAGTTCAGTTTGCAAGAAGAGCAGACCATCATTCAGCTCCATGCTCTTCTCGGAAATAGGTCAATTTAACCTTAATATCTAAATATAATTTTTAGTTTGTACAGTGATCATGACTAGATGTTATCATTCACTCTCCAACGGTACTGAAGTACTGAATTACATATATGATATATACATTAGAGTTTAAGTGCAATTACAATTAGTCCCTGCAGTGAGCTCATTAGTGTACGTTCTTTCCAAATGCTCACCTCTCTCTCTCTCTCTCCCTCGAGTTTTTTTTAGGGGTTTTTTGAAATGGGTCCAAAGTAACTAAAAATTAGACCTATTTCAAAAGTCAAAAGTCACTAAAAATTGGACCTATTTCAAAAGGTAGTCTATAAAATTGGACCTATTTCAAATTTTCCCTTTTTTTTTATACATCGTCCAACCCATACAACCCTAGCAACTTCATGTGTATAGATACATGTGCTTGTGTATATATAGTCCTAATCTTCTCCTTTATCATCTTCTTTATTAATTAATAATTTAGTTAATTATTTATATGTTAAGCCATGAAAAGATAATTAGTATGTAAATTGTTAGATATGTACTCAATGATTACTTCACTGATCTCAGGTGGTCAGCTATAGCAACCCATCTGCCGAAGAGGACAGACAACGAGATCAAAAACTACTGGAACACACATCTCAAGAAGAGACTAACCAAGATGGGCATCGACCCGATGACTCACAAGCCGAAGCACCACGAGGGTCTCAGCTCTGGCAGCGGCCTTGCGAGGGACACTGCCAACATAAGCCACATGGCTCAGTGGGAGAGCGCCAGGCTCGAAGCCGAGGCCAGACTGGGCAAGGAATCCAAGCTTGGCATCACCAACGCTAACCCTCTCCAACACCACCTCATGATCAGCAGCTCCCCCAACCCTGCTCACCATGTAGTACACGTCAGCAAGGCCCCGCTGGCGCTTCCGTGTCTGGATGTGCTGAAAGCATGGCAAGGGGCATGGTCGTTGACTACAAAGTCAACAATAAGAGACAACGTTAACAGTATGGTGTTTTCAGGTGGTTCTCTGACGGCCGTGGACGACCTTGAATCTCCGACGTCCACGTTGAACTTCCCGCACGTTAATAACGCGTTTAATCCTCCTCCCATGCAAAACATAAACAATATTGTTCCATGCGAGTCCGGGTTGTTGCAGGACAATGATAATGTTACCTATGGCTGTACGGATGTTAGTGCTGCATGGTTTGCGGACAATTATAGGTCAGGTAGTATTGATGAGGAGGAGAATGTGATTGTGCCAACTGGGCTTTCAAGTATGATCATAGAGGATTTCACGGATGTTTTGGTTTACAACTCAGAGGATCATCAGCAGAACGCGTCTCTGGGAGGACATATCTCCGAAAATGGCGTCGGCGGCAATGGAAGCTGCGGCGGTGACGCGTTTGAAGAGAACAGGAGTTACTGGAACAGTTTACTCAATTTGGTTGATACTTCATCGTCTGGATCGCCTGTGTTTTGACTTTTTAGAGTCTAGGTAAGGTAACTGTTAGGGATCGGAGGGTTGATGATTAGCGACTAATTTAATTAAGTGTAATAAGGAGTTGTTGCCTTTAGTTTTAAGTAACAAGTTGTTTGATCAACCAGAAGATAACAATGTTCTATTAGTTTGTTTGATTATGCAAGAAACAAAATCATTTACAACTTTATCATGTCATACTACAAAAATTATTTTGCAACTAAATGATGTGTCACCAATAAAAATGAACATGTTTATTAATACTTAAGTAATAATTCAATTATCAACTTTCATGTCATTTAATTTATTAAATCTTATCTACAATTTTAGTCTTTCTAGCATTACCCTTTTTTTTAATGCCAAAAATTTTATAAAAATGTTTGAGAAGTTGGGAAACATTTGGACTTCAGCCTTCCCAAATCATTGTGTTCCTTTCTCTAAATCCCTCATCAAACATCAGGTAAGAGTTAGGCCCAACTTTAATTCACTACTTGGGGCATGAACCTTTCTATCTATATTCGGGCTTGGACTGAAGACAACTTAAAAGATAGGCCTTGACCTTGGTGTGTGTGAGTGTGTGTTTTTTATTTTTTATTTTTTATGAAACGATTTGTTAAATTAGATGTTAAATTAAAGAGTTAATAGGGTTCAAACTCAATCTGTAGTGCAAAGAGCAACACTCCTCTCCACCACCATGACAGGGCTTGACCTTGGCATTTGAATATGTTGTGTTTGGATTTCAAATTTAGGAACTCCTTTGCTGAATCATAATGTCACTTATTTGGAACTGGATTCCATTAGATTACAACTCACTACATTCAAAAGTATTTGAAAGAAAAAAATGGAGATAAACTTTCAATTGAGAAGGATTAGTCATGCAATTGAATAGGATAAGTTTCATTCTTGACTAGTCCATCTAATTCAACTTGAATATAAACGAGTTACCCAATTCATCTAATTCTAAACGTTTGAACCATAAAGTGTTTTTCAGAAGTAGAATAAAAGTTTGATTAAAAATTAAAGTATTCTCTAGAAAACCACTTTTAAGTATTTTTAGCAATTGATTTTTAATTATCTGAAAGCGTATTAGCCCTTCTAAAAACAGGTCTAGAAAAACTTAAAATTTAGTATAAACTTCATAGCTTATGCTCAATAAACCTATCCCTTATGTACCTATGATTTGGTTTGATTTAGTGCAAATAGCAGTCATATTCAAGGTGTGTGAACTTTGCAATTACAAACTCACCAACAATGATAAAAATCCACACCCAAATGAGAAGCAACAGATTCAAATTTCAATGAACACATACAAATCTCACAAATGGAAACCTGCCCATCTTCTAAACCTTCTAACATCACTCCCTTCTGAAACTGCCATCCCAATCCCACTCCCCCCATCCCCAACACCTCTATAATACAACCTCCACTCATCTTCTTCCCCATCCATCTGAACCAAACATGGAGATCCAACCCCTTTGTTATCCCACCCACATTCCTCAGATGCCTCTAGTACCACCCCATCTCCAATCCTTGTCCAGTCCTTCAAACCATCTTTGGACACAGCCAATCCAATCCCCCTCCCTCCATCTGCACAAACACCTTCATATGCCATCAAATAATCCCCATCTTTCTTGTTCCTTACCACACATGGATTCGTTGCTCCCATCTCATCAAACCCTCCACTTCTTCCTCCCCCAATTATTTTCCCCAACTTTACCCACTTTATCCCATCCCTTGATCTTGCAATCCCAATTGAATAAACCCCATTTTCCAAATCAAATGAATGGTAATACATTCTAAGATCACCACTCGCATGATAAACAACATGAGGAGTTGCAACAAATGAAGAATCCCACTCTTCCTGCAGTCCCACATCGAAAAGCGCCCCGCTGTGATGCTCCCCTTCAATCCTTGCCCAATGCCTCCCATCCTGACTAATTGCCAGTCCAGGCAAAGACTTCAAAATCTTCCCGGCATTCCCACCATTCTTCATCCTTTCCGGGTTCTCCAACTCCAGTTCCAAATTGCGACGATCGGAAGAAATCTCTGCCTCCTCAGCGCTGTAGCCAGTGTAATAGAGCCAGTAAACAGCGCTGGAAGCTCTGACCTTTGAGCTGGACATGACCACCACCTCAGAAGGCCTAATGCTCTGGGTGTCAAACGCCCACCAATCTTTCCCGCAATTGATCACCGCTCCCACGTCCTGGCTCGACTGAACTGGTCCTCCGCCTCTTTCCCAATGAACCCCATTGCTCGAAACTGCTAATCCAATCGAATCCGAACCCTCCGAATTCGAACTGCCATAGTACCACATGTACCATCTCTCTTCCTCATCACCCAGAAACCTCTTCACAACTGGTGACCCGACTTCTGCGCTGTCCCACGAACCTTCCAAACCCAAATCGAATACCAATCCTTTGGTGACAGAAGAAGAAATTGATGGTGGTATAGGAGAAAAGATTGCATCTTTCGAAGAGAGTGTTGATGGGTTGGTGGGGTTTGAATTTAAATTGGGTTCGACAGTCGAATTTTTTGATTTTTCGTTGTCGGTGGTGTCGGTGTCTGGCTTTGTGGAGCAGCGAGGGAGCAGAGGAATAGCTTTATTTCTGGGGTTGGAGTTCGGGAGATAAAGAGTGTGAATTTTCGTGTTACAGTCAGGAATCGAAGAGGTTAAGGTAGTCGGGGTAGTTATTCTTTGGGTGAGTGGAGTTCCTAGGAAGTTAACGGCTTTCATTGTTGTAGCAGAAGCTGCTGCGGCATCCATAGCTGCTCGCAGAAGAAGGCGCTCTGAGATATTTTGTTGGGTGATGTATGAGGTGTGACCAATCAACTGATGACACGTTGCCAAAATTGAGAGGCTCTCAGTTCACAACAGAGAAGGGAGAGGCTTGGGTCAGAGAGACGGTGAGGCAGAGAATTTAGGTTTTAAGTTTGGAATTATAAGTAGTCACAGTGAAAGTGTAATGTGAAGAATCATCTTTATCTTTCATCCATCTTCCCCGCAGAAACAGTGAAAGTGATCAAAAAAGATGAAATGTACGGTTAATTCATCTTTAGATTTGATATCAATGGTAATCAATAAAAATAACGTGTTTTTAATGCTTTAATCTCAGTATTTGATATTAAATTTAACACTATATAACAAAACTCATATATATGCACAAATCAAATATTTGTATAAAAAGAAGTGACAAAAGCAAGATGTTCTTCCACATGGTTAAGGAAGGTATATCATGGAGCAATCTTTTTGACTCCTTTTTCCGCAAGCATATCTCAAGGATCACTTTCTGTTTACATGGTTTAGGGTTTACATGACCACAACGATTGGTTTGAAACAACGAGCAAAGTGTCCTCCCAAAGTACTTTTAACCGATAAATGTCACATCACAAATTATATGTAACTTAATTTTTTGACTGAAAAACATTAATATAATTTTTTGATTGAAAGACATTAGTATTATATAAGTATCTATGATACCAAATTGAACCGATATCTAAAAAAAAAAGTAAATTTTCAATCGATATTGAATGATTTGATTAGTCAGCTGATATGGAAAGATGAAAACTTTCCTCCCTTGTTAAATTGCTCTCTTCTAACAAAGGCATCTGTCTATTCCAAATACTCTGAGGCCCACTACAACAAAACGAACAAAATAAAGGCCCATTATATTTTGAACCAATAGGTCCAAACTAATAGGGGCAAATCGTTAATATAAATTCTAATTAATCACTTCTCATTCTTTAGCCTCCAATAATCTCCAAAGTCCAGGCCGTCGCTTTGGCACCAAGGGAGAGCGTATATCCTCAGTCACAGTTGAACTGAAACCCAAAACCCAGAATAACACTCCGACCTCCAATCGGTGAGAATTAAGATTTAATTCGGTAAATATATTTATGGGTTTTGTTAATTTGTATGTTAATTTTGGTTAAACAGTAATTTTCAGGGTAAATTAGTCAAAGAGATGGGGAAGGACGCGAAGGGAGGAGGAAAGGGGAAGGGAAAGGCGGCGGGCGGCAGCGAAGACGGTGGCGCCAAAGGAAAAGGTAAATCCGGGAAGGCCGCGGACGGGCTCGGCACCTGCACTTATGTGAAGGCAAGGCACATACTTTGTGAGAAGCAAGGCAAAATCAACGAAGCCTACAAGAAGCTGCAGGACGGCTGGCTCGAAAACGGCGACAAAGTCCCTCCGCCGGAGTTCGCGAAGCTAGCGGCGGAGTACTCCGAGTGCCCGTCGGGGAAGAAAGGCGGGGATCTTGGGTGGTTCCCTCGCGGGAAGATGGCAGGCCCTTTTCAGGATGTTGCTTTCGCTACTCCAATTGGGGCAACCAGTGCGCCTTTCAAATCAACGTATGTGTTTTCAAAGTTTCAATCTTTCTGTTTTTTAAGTGCTACCCCTTTTGGCCGATTGGTTAGATTAGTCCTGGATTAGGCTGGATTGGATTGGAATACATTGATTATAGCCGATAAACCCATGTTTTAGGTCACATCAGATTGCTTGTTGATTGAGGTTGGCTGCACTTCTTATCACTCATTTCATATTTATCAAAATATCTAGGATGTCATAGTATTGGAAAATATGCACAAATAGAACTGTTCGCAGTTCTTAAAACAAAAATGAAACCTTTTCACTCATCGGCACTAAACATGCAACGAAACACGTTTTAGTGTCCCTTTATTGCCGTTGGACTGTCGATCTAGTGTTCCATTGTCGGTATGAACCTTGCCCAATCCTTCATTTTGCTTTTGGATTAGATGCTTTAAGATGCCATAGTGTTTGAACTGTGATATTATACATGTGCCGAGTTCAGCGACACGGTTGGCTCATATTTTGTTCTTGTTTGGATACTTGTACAGGCATGGTTACCACATTATCTTGTGCGAAGGCAGAAAGAATTAAGTAAAGACCTTTGATTTTCTGATGGAGCAGATCTGGAGCTTTGGCCATATGTATGAGTTTTCTAGTTATTGCTGCTTTGATGTTGTGGGCGTTATGTTTAACGAGTGATGAATGCTTACTCTCTCTCTCTCTCTCTCTCTGTGAGCATCTTTGTTTAATAATATTGATATATTTTTCAGTCAAGGCGAATGAAGAATTCCAGTTTAGTTATATGATTGAGAAACATGTTTATGGTAACTTTCCTTTAGTTAGAAGTGCTAGTAAAAGAACTCTGTTGTGATGCCGAACGGAAAAATACTGAGCAGCCTTTTAGCTTGGAATGCAATGACATTGATCGATTTTCAATACGCGGAAGTTTAATACAGTTGGGGACCATTGAAAACCATGTCCAAATAGGAGCTATGAATTTGCCAATTTATGACGTTAGTATGATCATGCTTGCGATTGGGTTAGTAATTTTCTTCAAGTTGTACTATCTAGACTATAGTTTGATACGCACTCACAGATTCCCCGAGGATTTTCTTTGATATTTTTTTCAAAAGAAAAGGACTTGAAGGGAAAAAATTGACCATATCAACAATCGTGCATAAATAAATTACTACCTCGCATTACATTTAAGAAAAAAACTACAACTGATCATGAGATTCGTGACTATCAACTAGCTTGAGTCCCCAGCTCATATCCTCACAATGCCTCACATGAGGCACAAGTGCGCCCGTATCTACTCCTTTCTTCGCCTTGCAGTCATAAAATGGTGGAGCATGGAAGCACGGCTCCATCGACATAACTTGACCGCAAGGTGGATCCGGCGTCTTCCGATTCTCCGGCTTGTACAGAATCCACGGTTTAAGACCTCCAAGACCTTGAGCCACGTACCCAAAAGTCGACCATGCACTTGTGACCAGCACATCACACAAACTCAGCAGGTACATTTCAGCCCAAGCTTTCTGGTCGTGCAGATTCTTATCCGTCTGCTGATGCCCTTCGTGACTTGGCTGGAAAACCCCGATTGTGTCCCCATTCACAGTCGGATGTTCCCAGTACATGTTCCTCACATCCTCAGAATACCCTGAGGTCAAAGAAGTAATTAAAACCGACTTCAGTTTCGGCATCCCTGCTGAAGATGTGACGATTGGTTTCTTCCTTTCCACCCGAGGCAGCAACTTCTCCCTGAAAGCACATGCATAGATTTGGTTCATCACATGCCTAAGCGGGCTAGGCCCTGCCTCGAAAGTTCGAACTTGAATCCCAATCCTCTCATCTGCCTTTGCCAAGTAAGCTTGGTAGTACCTTGTGATCAGCCCCCATACATGATTTGAAGGGTGGAAAAGATACCTACCCAAGTGGTGGAAAACAGTTTCCTTTTCCGGGAAAAGCTTTTCGAGTTCTTGCTCAAAAGAGGGCATCAAGAAAAGCGATGGAACGAAGTAGTTATCTGTTCTCATAATCAGCCAAGGAACTTTCTCGATCAGACTTTGTTCATCATCGCAGAAAAAGAGCTTATCTTGTTCATCATAATCATGGGCCAGATGAAGATACAAAAATGATGGCGAAGTGGTTGCGATCTTGTTATTCTCCGATTTCAAAATATTCCCGTAGCAATGAGGAGATTTCTGATCAAATGCATCAAATCGGTCTTTAACAGGGAAGTCATCAGGCAACAGCCATGAGTTTTCAGGGAAGGGCTCGCAGAAGAGGTCGGCCATGTCCTTTCCGGGGTCGACAAGAAGGACTCTGTTTGTGAGCAGGGCATAGAGGAAAGCAGAAGATATGGTCAGTATCTTGTTCCCCAAGCCACTGTACGATATCCAAACCACATACTTGCACTCTTCTGAACTGTCAACGCCAGTGCTAGGGCTACTGGACTTTAGCTGTTCTAGGGTTTTGTTGTAGGATTTGGTGTGGGGTCCACACTTCTTGTGAAGATCTTCATAGCTTCTCAGTCTGGAGAGAAGATGAGAAGATGGTTTTTGGGGTGAAATTTTTCTGTATAAATTGGATTGATATCTGCTCAAGCAAGAGGCTTCATCAAATCCGGGAGCAATTAGTCCATCTTGTAGCTTGTCTTTGGGCATGTGGGTATGATCTGAGAAACCATCTTCTGTAAAATCAGACCCAAATAATTAGAAAGATCAAATTTTGATCCTAGTCCAATTCCACACCAGAACCAAATTACCAATCATGCATGCAGAAAAGCTAAAATTGCAAATTCAACGTATGAATTTCATTGTTGTACTTCCCTGCGTTTTTCTCGGTAACCAAACAAAAAGCAAGGCTGTTTGAACAGTATCGAATCTTGAATATGTTACCTGAGCTGGACGACGATGATGTGTCATTTGTTACGAGTCTTTCGATAATTCTGGCGTCAGCAAAGCCTTTGATGCGATCGGGAGACGGGTTTCGAAGAACGAGAGAGAGGGTGACGAGAACTGGGAGAGAGACCAAAAGAGCAGCCAATATCTTGGTCAAATTCATCGGACTAATCAGCCTGGATTTCGACGGGGCGAACCAAGCGGCGGAGACAAGTTTGTTACGACCTGCGGGGTTCGGTTGCGGTGAAAGTCGCCTCCTGCTGTTGGATTCTCTCAGATCCATTCATAAATTATGATATCCCGATTGGATTCGAGCATGCCAGGGTCGTGCGAGCATGCCATGGTTATCTCTCAAGGTTTATTTTTCATTAAATGAGTGCAGATACGCACAGAGAGAGAGAGAGAGAGAGAGAGAGAGAGAGGGAGAGAGAGAGAGAGAGAGGGAGGTGGACTGGGATTCTGGGAAGTGGGAAGAGTCTCTGTAATTGTTTCGGGTTGGTGGTTAAGGTCGTAGAAATGAGCGGGTTTCGTTTTCGTTTCGTCTTCAACAGTCCAAACGTGGCAGCCGGATACGGGGGTTGTTTTGGTGAAATTTATTATTATTATTTATTTAATATAATTAATAAAACACTAGTTATCAACCAAAATCCTATGAAATTATCAATTTAATTCTTTAATTAAATTGGTACATGAATAGGAAATATGGGGTAGAAATGTAATTTCACACAACCAAATTTTGCTGTTTTTTTTTCAAAGTCTCACATAAATGTAATTCTAACATATCTCTAATTAAAAAAACAAAAAAAAAAACTTTCCACCCCCACATTTTCTATCACTCTCTTCCTCTCTCCTTCTATTTCATAAACAAAAATAAAAAATTTTCTCAAACACTTTGTGTGTGCCCATATACTAGTTATTATTTAATACAAGTTGAACTTTCTTATGTGACCAAGAAAAGTAAGTTTACGCCAAATATTTAACAAAAACTAAAGTCTACCGATAATGGAAATAATTACGTGAGGCCCCAATCGAAATATGAACAATGGGTTAGGGACAATAACAGGTTAGTCATTGTCTTTGATAAATTGGAATTTAGAGAATAAGAAATTTCGAATTCGAGACAAAACAGAAGATAGAAACACAACAATTTATCCAATAAGTTATTGGACTGCATACAATAATATATAACTGGCTCAACTAGTTATAAGCATATGCAAAAAAAACTTTATTTTCCAAATACTTGTTTCATACTCTCAGCAATATTTTTAACAATTGAATTTAAATTCTTCGAAACCACAAAGTCTCTCATCCCTAAAAGACTTGTACTTCAAGTGTTCAATTGATAATAACATTCAACTATGCAGAGCGTCAAGTCTTCTAGAATATGATCTGGGCTTCTCTAAGACCTTCGTATGGTCAAAGAGCTCGACGAAGCTCCGTGCGCAGCCGGACGAAACACGTGTTCTTGGTATCTTGAGGTAACTTTAATTGACTGTTTCGCATCAGACAGCTACGAGCCGATCATGAGATTCATGATCATCAACTAGCTTAAGTCCCCACACCACATCCTCACAGTGTCGCACATGAGGCACAATTGCGCCCGTATCAACTTCTTTCTTTGCCTTGCAGTCATAAAATGGGGGATCGTGAAAGCAAGGCTCCATCGACCTGAACCGACCGCAGGGTGGATCCCGCGTTGTCCGATTCTCTGGCTTGTACAGGTAACAGAATCCATGGTTTCAGACCTCCAAGACCTTGAGCCGCGTACCCGAAAGTTGACCGTGCACTTGTTACCAACACGTAGACACACAGACTGAGCAGATACATCTCTGCCCAAGCTTTCCGGTCGTATAAAGTCTCATCCGTATGCTGTTGCTCTTCATGGCTAGGTTGGAAAACCCCTATTATGTCCCCGTTCACAGTTGGATTTTCCCAGTACATGTTCCTCACATTCTCAGAGTACCCTGAGGTCAAAGAAGTAAATAAAACCGACTTCTGTTTCGGCATCCCTGATGGAGCTGCGTCGATTATTGGTTTCTTCCTTTCTACCCGAGGCAGCAGTTTCTCCTTGAAAACACACGCATAAATTTGGTTCATCACATGCGGAAAGGGACTAGGCCCCGGCTCGAAAGTTCGAACTTGAATCCCAATCCTCTCATCTGCCCTTGCTAAGTAAGCTTGGTAGTACCCTGTGATCATCCCCCACACACGATTTGAAGGGTGGAAAAGATACCTACCCAAGTGGTGGAAAACAGTTTCCTTTTTGGGGAAGAGCTTTTCGAGTTCTTGCTCAAAAGAGGGCATCAAGAAAAGCGAGGGAACAAAGTAGTTATCTGTTCTCATAATCAGCCAAGGAACTTTCTCGATCAGAATTTGTTCTTCATCGCACAAAAAGAGCTTATCTTGATCATCATAATCATGAGCCAGATGAAGATACAAAAATGATGGTGAAGCGTTCGCGATCTTGTTATTCTCCGATTTCAAAATGTTCCCGTAGCAATGAGGAGATTTCTGATCAAATGCATCAAATCGATCTTTGACAGGGAAGTCATTAGGCAACAGCCATGAGTTTTCAGGGAAGGGCTCACAGAACAGGACCGCCATGTCCGTTCCAGGGTCGACAAGGACTCTGTTAGTGAGCAGGGCATAGAGGAAGGCGGAGGACTTGGTCAGTATCTTGTTCCCCAAGCAGTGGCGGAGCCAGAAATTTACAATGATGGGGTCAGAAATTTACCCTCGGCCGGTGACGTCATCATCGGAGTACTGGACACCGACGTCTGGCCTGAGAGCAAGAGCTTCGATGACACCGGTTTTAGACCCGTGCCCACCTCTTGGAATGGCACGTGCGAATCTGGAACCAACTTCAACCCATCGAGGAGTCCAAAGAATCCAAATCCCCACGCGACGACGACGGAGTGCCAACCAATTCGACGCCCTAGACAGGGGGCAGGCCAAAAACGCAGGTCTGACGATCGGAGGCCGTCAAGCAGTAGATTTACGGTGGTGGGAAGATTTAGCAAGGGGAGAAGAGACGCTGATGGAGTGATGGCTAAAAAATGGAGCAGCAGCTCTGTTGATTTTGAATGATATCTTCTTTGTATTACCGAGAAATGTCATGCGGATTACAAGGGAGGAAGAGCTATTTATGGAGATGACCGCACCCATGCTTTTGTTATCAGCATGCAGCACGCATGCTTACAAAGACCCAAGGAATAAGCAATAACATTACAAAATGATGGACCCTAGGAGTAAACAATGACACCACTGACTCAACTCAAGGAATAAAAAATGACATATAAAGCAACACACCCATACTCTCTAGTTAGCAACAGCATCTGACAAGCAGCATAATGCATTCTGGCAGTACTAACAGCACTGACAGCAACCATACTGTCAATATCAACAAGCTCCTTCTTCTTGTTTGAGGCTGTCGGCACATAGTTATTGGGGTCAAGGAATCCCATTGCCCCCACCTTGGCTCTGCTCCTGTCCCCAAGCCATTGTAAGATATCCAAACCACATACTTGCACTCTGCTGACCTATCAGCGCTAGTGCTGCTAGGGTTACTGCTGGACTTGAGTTGTTCTAAGGTTTTGTTGTAGGGTTTCGTGTGGGGCCCACATTTCTTGTGGAGATGTTCATAACTTCTCAGTCTGGAGAGAAGATGAGAAGATGGATTTGGGGTGAAATTTTTCTGTATAAATTGGATTGGTATCTGCTCAAGCAAGAGGCTTCATCAAATCCAGGAGCAATTAGTCCATCTTGTAGCTTATCTTCGGGCATGTGGGTATGGTTAAAAAAATCATACTCTGCACACAGCAATTGAAAACAAGAAAGAAAGTAAGAAAGTGAGAGGTATATATATATGTATATATGGGGGCTTAATTAAGGTTTAGAGTTTGGTCAAGGCTTAATAGTAAAAATTCCCCCTGAATTATCAAGAAAGTATCACTTTACCCCCTTCATTTGCAACCTAATAACCTTCGAGCAGCCTTAATCAAAAGTTAACGAGAAATATATGCATTCAGTAAAAGTCCAGTAAAAGCAAAGTGATACAATCAGCATGCCGGAAAATTTAGGTGAAGTGTGGAACGATTTGAAACGAACGATGTTATATACACTAAGGGAGTGGAGGAGTGAGCTAAGCCTCACACTAGGTTATTCATAATAATGTGATTCAAATCCGCCTTTAACGAGAATCGAACCTAAGACCTCTCACTTACACATAAAGAGGAATACCACTAGATCGTAGTACTAAATGGTGAAAACAATTTTAAACGAACTTAAAATTTAGTTTAAACTTCATAGCTTGTGCTCATTGAATCTATCCTTTATGTGCCTATGATTTGGTTTGATTTCGTGCAAATAGCAGTCATATTCAAAGTGTGTGAACTTTGCAATTACAAACTCACAAACAATAACAACAGAATTTTTTTTTTTTTTTTTTGAAATTACTATTATTAGGGGAAAGGGGAGAGTTCAAAATTAGAGGAGAATAGTGAGTTTTGAAATCAGGATGCATAAGTAGAAACCAACATCATATCCACAAGGATATTGGATCACGTGCTGAGAAACAATAGATTCAAATGAGATTGATTGATGCATTAGATGTAGTCCCCCATTGATAGTAACAAAATTAAAACAATGAACACATACCAATCTCAAATGGAAACCTGCCCATCTTCTAAACTTTCTAACATCCTTCTGAAACTGCCAATCCAATCCCAGTCCTCTCCCCATTCCCCACACCTCTATAAACTTGTAGTCTTGTAGATAGGAACAAACGGGAAACTTCGCGATAAAGCTGGTCAGTTTCGAATGGTTTTGAAACATATCCATCCATTCCGCACTTTGTGCATTCTTCATGGGTAGACTGAATTACATCAGCAGTCATGGCCAGAATGGGTACATGCCACGCTTGAATACCTTCATAATCCTCCACATTAAGTTCGCCATGTTGAATACTGTTGCTGATATTGCGTTCCGTGTCACGTATTCTCCTTGTAGCTTCAAACCTGTGGGAAGAAATGAAACTTATAAATGTAGTGACCAAATTTATCCAGGATAGCTAAAACGGATCAAAATTACCAAAAAGGGCCAAGTATACAACCGAAAGAGAGATTTTATGAATTAACTACACACGGCTACCTTCTATATAAGATGACTTGCAAAAACTGAACTTGCTAAGAAACCTCGCGCATTAAATATTATTTTTAGATCTTTTCTGACATTTCAGCAAGGTTTTCAAAACCGAAAGCTTTCCAAAGTTCAAAACTAAAAGCATCTCTCACCCATCCATCTCTGGCATCTGGATATGCATGAAGCAGGCATCAAAATGGTGGGGCGGCTTAAGCAGTAAGATTGCCCTTTTACCATTGTCTGCACATTCCACCAATGCCCCATGCTTTTCCAAAGCATCGGCAGCTACTCTGAGATTCACATTATCATCATCAATAATAAGAATTCTTCTGCATAACAGAAGGTCGCAGAGAGACAAACTTGGGAGCTCCCTGTTCCGGAGATTTGCCTTACCAGCTCCCATGGCTCTTTGCAGTGAGGCAGCGAGCATGCTTGCCATGAGAGGCTTCATGATGACTGTTGGGGTAGGGACACCTGAAGTTGCAGAGCTTATTCTGCATGAGGTAATAGAGTTGGTAAGAATGAACAGGTTCGGAGGAACCTGTCCAACAATTTTCCTTAAATTACGGACAAAGAGAGCTGAAGTTCCTGAATCTTTATCCCAGACTTCCTGTTCGACAAGGACCATATTGATAGTTGGAATACCACAGCTTATGCTAGATAAACCCTCATACAAATCAGAAACTACTACAACACGAATTCCAAGCCGTTGGATATGGTATCTTGACATCTTGGCCCTAACAGGTCTTTGGTCCACTACTAATGCTGTCATGCCATTAAATTCTGAGGATGCAGCATTTGACTGGCTGCTGATTTGCTGGATCGTTAACTCATTTGAACTGGAGCTGGCATTGGTGAAAACAGCAGTAAATGTAAATGTGGAACCAATCTTTGGAATGCTAACAAACCCGATTTCCCCTTTCATGAGGCTAACCAAACACTGGCTTATCCATATCCTCATTCTAATTCCTCTATCTATATGTCCCAAATTCATAAAATGTTGGGCTTCTAGAGGGATTCCAAGTCCTGTGTCCTCGACAGATACAATAATATGGATGAGGTCAGGTGACGGTGAAAAACGGCTTGCAGTTCCATCTTGACCGAAACACCTAAATCCTTCCCAACTGTGGCGTCTATCTGCAACGGGGAAACGACTCAAGGTGTTATTCGGTGATGATGCAGTCTCAACATCTATTAAGCCGATCAGCTCCTCGACAAGATGAACCGTGACAAAGATGTGTCCTTCTTCTGTGAACTGTAAATAAAATAAACAGTCTCATTGCCATTTGCCATTTATACAGAACGCAGTGGCTTAAATGGATTTAAATTCCCGTATTTAACAAAGCCTCATATACATATACGAATACATACAGATATCCAGGGGTACATTTATCCACTCTCATCATTTTACTCTCTTTAACAAATAGTTGAGAACCCACTAGACACTTACTTTGATTGAATTCCACATGAGATTGGTGATAATTTTCCGAAACCTTCTGGGATCACCAATAAGCATATCAGGAACCTGATCTGAGACGTATACTGCCCACTGCTCTTCCCAAAAATTTGGTCATGCAAATTTCAAAAGTTCAGTTATTGGACAATGAAAACTTAGAGCAGAGAACGACACATAAAACAGTGCAAGATGTGTTTTGTTTTGGGGAAGTGGCGGGGGTGGAAACGTTATTTACCTCTACTTTTTCTTGATACTCCATCCTAAAGAAGGACAGAACATCATCTAGAATAGGTCGCAGATAAAAACGCACTGCCTCAAGCTTCGGGTCCAGGAGTCCATTTGTAAGTGAGACTGCATGTCTTACACTTCTCTGGGCAGTTCGGATATAATCTAGTTGAGTATCATCCAGGTTTGAGTCCATTAGCATTTGTAACATTCCTGAAAAGGAACAGAATTGTCAAAGTTCAGCAAGCTTTCTTTTGGCTGTAGTTTTGCTCTAAAATATTCAGCAATGCAGGTACATGATTTTAACCAAATAACAGCAGCAGTCTTGCGAACTCACCTAGGACACCATTCATTGGGGTTCTGATCTCGTATGAAACAGTTGCAAGAAACTACAGAGGATTAAGATCTGATTAGGCACAAGCATAGTTCAATTCCCAACAAAATTCCCCTGCATTAACTAAAGTCACAAAGTACCTCACATCTGGCAACAACAGCTGCCTCGGCCCGTATCTTGAGCTCCATCATATCCTCCAGTTTGGTAATCCTATCTACAATTGCATGGAAATCGGAGCTAACAGACAATGCAATTACGAGGATGTAAAGAGAAATCTCAATGGCCAACCACGGCAATGGTGGCTTATTTTTGAACCTGCATAACGAAGAAACTCAGCTTCTGAATACAGTTCTACAAGAATTTCTAGATGCCTAGGTCCCTCAGAAACAGTGTGATCACAATAAGTAAGACAAACTTAACATTTCCTAGTCTAGTCCCATTACCAAAGACCATGGAGAGGCCTATGTAACATAGAAGCTCAACCCTAAAAGTATAAGGCACAAGACTTAGTAGTTACCTGCACCGCATCTCATGGTTCCTTAAGGGATCTCCAAAACTTAAGGAGCTAATGTGCTGCAATCCATCATCCGACACATTTGAACCATACATCCTGATTGGATGCGACTGATTGGTTGTGTCATACACGTTCACAAGGATGGTTTGCTTGCTAGCAAGTTGTTGAAGTAACTTCTCCATTAGTGAGTCAATATGAAAGACTCCACCAAGATACCTGGTTGGCAGAAACAACAGGATTAAAAAAACTTCTCTAAAGTATTATGAGTCCAGCAAAGCAAAGCAATTCTGTCTGCTGACATCCCTTCCAGGCCTTGACGATACCAAAAAGGAATGTGGACATGCTTTTTAAAGGCGGAAAACTTGTATTATGCTTTTATTAATAACATGTTCTCATTCAAAGAAAGCATACCCAACAGTTGCTTGAATTCTTTCATTTGGGGTTGCATTTGAGGGCAGATAGCTTTTGTAGATGGCGAACGTCAGTATTACTCCAAGTCTGTTTGTTTTAAGCAGCCGAAAAGGTGCAGTTAGAACCCCCCTTCCCGATTCTCTTGCACGCAACATGTTTTGTCGACCTTCCTGTTGAAACGCAAATGAACAAAACTTCACGATTGAGGTTACAAATCAGGAAACCAAAATTTCTAGATGGCATGAGACAATGTTGAAGAGCTTTCTAAATTTCTAAGATAAAGGTACTATCATTTAAATTTTGGAAAAATCAGGACTGCAAAATATAAGTAAAAGATCCTAGACAACTAATAACTAACATGCTGCTTAATTTAGATTATAGAATTCGATTGGAACAACCCGTATAGTTGATAAATGAATTGTGACAAGTTGACGACAGAAACTAGATAGGGAAATACCTTCCCGGACAGCATATCGAAAGGGATGACGTGTCTAATGGCATCCTGTGCAAAGATAACAGGAGCAGATTCTTCCTGAACTGGGGATGGTTCCAAGGCTTCTGGGGCATAGTCATTCTTATGAACCTGGTTTTGTTCGAGGGTATCCATTCTCTTGATAGTCCAGCCCTGCTGCTTCTCAAATTCTTCTTTTCCCCAGTGGAGCACCCTTCCAGCATATGCCACGCCACACGTGAGGGGTCTCTCGAAAGCAGTTCTCTCAATGTACCGCGCAAAAGCTTTCTGCAGGTTCCGAAAGTTAGGATGTTCTATCAACTAGATAACTAGCATCATAGCTACAGAAAGCTCAGATCTGAATATCTGAAACTAAATTAAGTTAAACATATCAAATTAACACCGGTTGAGAAACAGCTACAAAATTATTCGAATTTAACTTTTTCAAGCAAATCACCACGTGAACAAAATGCATCAACTAGCAAAACAGTTAATTAACAGACAGACAGATAGGTGGGTACTCATCAAGTACCCTCAATAAATATCAATCTGAGTGACGTAAAACACGCTAAGGAGATCCTTTCAAAAATGGAACTATCCGTAAACTCTCTATCACCTTATATTTTTTCCACAATATTCTTTGGAATGAGAATAGACGTTAACTGTAAAGTGACAGAAAATCCCACTTTGAGAGAGTCTACTTACATTTCTCTGCATCAGAGGCACCACTGACAAACACCAATTCCAACATATTTAACATCCTAAAATTGCTCAAATTTGATAGATGATATCTTTACCAGATCACTGGCCGAAGGGTACTTTCCGCCATGGAATGACGAGAGTATCATCGACATGGCCTGAATATGGTTCATGCTGACATTAAATTGATCCTGCAACATCCTCGCCCTCTCATTACACATCCTTGCAAGAGTTTCCTTCCTCTCCTCACTGGCCTGTGAGCTCATGAACGAGAAGATCCAGATGCTCAGTATCGTCCACCCAACCACCCACGAAAACACAAGCCTTCTCCACCACGTTTTTCGGACTCTCTTCGGCCCGACATACTGGTAGTAATGGTGGAGGATCTTGCTGATGTTCAGTGGGATTTTCTCCCACCATTTGAGGCACATATTGGCATCTTCACCAAGCAAACCTAGCTTGGTGTCTGTCACAATCCCACCATTGAGGTGCCAGTTCATGGAAATTACAGATACAATCGAGCAACATAGCATCCAAAGCAGATGCCCCACCTTCAAATCGACCTCAAATACAGGAAAGAAACTCATCCCAATCAGCATTAAACGAAGCAAGTCAACCACGAACATTGCCAAGAGGTGAAACTATAATACACTAAAGCGGAATGAGAAATTAGTGTTCATACGCAACAGTGTTTTGATGTTTTTGCCCTCATTTTTAATGTTTCTGTGTTCCTACTTTCTGTGTTTCTACGCGTGGCATGCAGGGAAATTTCTCTGCACTGTGTTTCTATGCGTTTTCTACGCGCGGCATGCTAGGGAAATTTCTCTGCAGCACGGCTCAACCACATTTTCTCGGAGAAGGATTGTCTGCCCTCCACTTTCGGTGCCTTTTTCATGTTTTTCTGTGTGGTTACGGTTAAGTCACATCAATATTTTATATTACTATTTATTTTTGTCTTATTATCTTTATAAAAAAATAATATAAAATGTTGACGTAGCTTAACCATGATCACACAAAACAGAAAAACATGAGGAAAGCACCGGAAGTGGAGGGCAGACAATCCTTGTCCCATTTTCTCACCATTCATTTCGTACTTCTCCACCTCTTCGATCCTGTTGCACCGTGAATCGAAACAAAAAAATGTCCATCCAAATCAATTTCAGATAACTCAAATCCCTAAAACCCAAATTTCTTCAGACCGTTGGAATCAGTTTGCCTTTGTTGTTGCTAATCTACCGGTAAAACTAAAGGGAATGTATTCAATTGGGATTTTGAGAGATTTTAATTCTTTTAATGAATCTATGGGTATTCAATCAGAATTTTAAGTGATTTTCTAAAATTCAAGGTGTATTCAATTAGAATTTTAAGATAGTTTATTAAAATCTTTAAAAATTCGGATGTATTCAATTAAGATTTTAGAGGGAATTGAAGAGATTTCGTTGTGTATTTTAAGCATACAAATCTCACATCTCCCCATGAGATTTCGAGGGAATTGAATCAAAACTTTTTTATGAAATCTCTACAAATCAATTAAATTACATAAAGATTAATGAATTTATAAATCCATTAAAATCTGTCAAATTTTTAATTGAGATTCGGAAAGAATTAGTTGTTCTTGAAAAGAATTACAGAAACTTGGCGATGCAGCGCTCTCACTCTGCAGCTGAATCAGACTCCTCCTGGGTGTCCACCGAGTCGGACGCGTGGTGGAGACTCGGGTGCTCGCTTCCCTGACATCACTACGCATCGATAAATGCACAGAATTTCCGATTACGTCACTTCTTTCTCTCGCCTTCTTTTCATGGTAGCTCCTCCTCCGTATTTACTCAACGCCTAATTTTGGCCTTTTTTTTCTTCCTTCACTGATTTGTTCTAGAGATCGCAGATTGTTGAGTCAGAGAAGAGGTACTTTTCCATTTGGGGTTTTTCCCAATTGATTGATGCTGCATTAATTTGGAATTTGCCTGATTGGGGTTTGAGATTTTTGGTTTATATGGCTGTTTTGAACTTTTGAGAGAACCCACATTGTTATTGAGGTGTGTTATCTACACATCATTTTTTACTTTTTACACTCTTCTTGTTGATTTATGTTCCTTGATATTCTTCAATTTATCTGATTTGACTGCCGAAAATTAAACGGATGTGTGAGAAGTAAAAAAGGGTGTGTGATTATCACACCTCTTGTTAGGTTTATTTATTTTTTTTTATCAATTTGATGTGATAGTTTTGGTGGGTGTTGGTGTTTTGTGATTCTTTTGCCAGTCTTCCTGTATTTTGTGGCTGGAGATTCTTTGATTGATGAAATGACCAGATTCGTAAAAAAAAAAAAATTGGGATAGACAGGGCTCGAAATTTGAGCTTTCATCAGATAAAATAACTTTTTCTTTAATTCATGTTAATTTGCGGTAATTTATTTTATTTAATTTGGTTTTTAATTCTTTTATTGTTGTTTTATGATTATGGGGTTTTGTTTTCAGACTCAAACGCCGTTGTCTTTTGAAGTATAATCAATCTTCTAAATAAGGTTCAATTGTGCCTCTAATACTCAATTCTCAAAGAGTTATTTTATATATTGTCTTGTACCATTTTCTTTTCTACTTATGGTAAAAGAGATCAGGATTCAATTTTGAATCTTTGTGCTGGTATATTTTTTGTCACATCACCAACTACTACTACTACACCTAAGGGACAATTAAACGATCATATTCTCAAATCAATACAAAAAAAAAAAAAATCATGTAAATTATAATAGTTAGGACTTAGAAATTTCGATTTGTATGGTGCATAGACTTTTAATGTAAATCTAATAGAATATATGTCACATCCCCACTTGGGGTCCACCATATCCCGAGCCCGCTCTATCACCGTAGCACCATATTGTCCGCTTTAGGCCCCAACTACACCCTCACGGTTTCATGGGAGTGCTTTCGCGCGCTACTCGCTTAACTTCGGAGTTCCTATGGAACCTGAAGCCAGTGAGCTCCCAAAAGGCCACGTGCTAGGTAGAGATGAGAATATACATATAAGGCTTAAAAAATCCACTCTCCTAGGCATTGTGAGATGTTACAATCCACCCCCCTTAGGGGCCCGACGTCCTCGTCAGCACACTTCCGCCCAGGAATTGGCTTTGATACCAAATTGTCACATCCCCGCCCAGGGTCCACCACATCCCATGCCTGCTCCACCACCGTAGCACAATATTTGTCCGTTTTGGGCCTCGACCACGCCTTCACGGTTTTGTTTCTAGGAACTCACACGAGAACTTCTCAGTGGGTCACCCATCATGGGAGTGCTCTCATGCACTACTCGCTTAACTTCGGAGTTCTCATGGAACCCGAAGCCAGTGAGCTCCCAAAAGGCCTTGTGCTAGGTAGAGATGAAAATATATTATAAGGCTTACAGGATCCACTCCCCTGGACGATGTGGGATGTTACAATATAGATGAAACTGAAAAACTTATTTCACCATGTGAATTCAATTACTTTGATTGATTTATAAATAATTTAGAAACGGGTGTGTTAAATTGTGGGTTACGATTTGAAAACCTGCAGCAGAGCGGAAGCATATTTGCCAATGAATTCTAGAGAGAGTGGAGAGCTTTAATACTGAATTTTAGGGCTGGTTCGAGTATGGAATCTCAAACTGAAAATGGAATCCCAAATTCCAAACTGAACATTTTTGGGACGAGAATCTGAAGACCAATCCCAAATCGAAATTTTAGTATTCTTGAATTTCGGGATTTCAATTCAATATGAATTGAATGGAAGACCCTGATTAATTCAATTCAAACCTGCATAAATGGAACATACAAATCCAGAAATCAAATAGGAAAATTTGACCATGCAAAATCCAATCAACCAAATCCATATAAAATTAATAAAAAAAATCCATAGAAAATTAATCTAGAAATTCAAATATAGAAATAATCAAAAGTCCTAAATTGTAAATAATAAGTGCTTTCAAAGGAAAGAACTTTACTAAAAATTTGATGTGCTTCTAATGAAAGTGCTCTGGTAAACTGCTTATATACAAAAATGGCTTCTAGAGAACAGAAGTGACAATCAGATGTGGTTTGTAAAGCGTTTATCCATTTTGTAAAGTGCTTTCCTCTTCCCCATTACCGCCAAGTCAGTCATTGCATTAGTTAATTAGCTACAATAATATTTGAGGTCGTTACTTACATGTATATAAGAATACTTTAATAAAAGGGATCTTAATTTTACAAAAAAAAAAAATAAGGAGCTCTTCTTGATCGTTAGATTTGACTTTAATAAAATTCTGTGATTAAGATTCTGTGGCCTATAATTTAATCTCAATCATAAAATTTTATTAAAATTAAATTTAACAGTCAAGATGGTGTTCTTATTATTTTTTTTTAAATAAGAATTCCTTTTGTTAAAGGGCATGATATATGAATCATATCATAGTTTATTTTCTCTTCCCCCACCGCGAAGTCAGTCATTGCATGCAATTTGCAGGCAGTACTCTAAGTCCAAGTCACATGAAAAGACACTGTTAGCTCCCCTGTCCTTTCAACTATCAATAATGCCCTAGGATGAAATTTAAAAGGATTTGAGTCATTTAGATCTGATTTAGTACTGAAGTGATTTAAAAAAAAAGTTAGTATCTATTTTTGTGTTTGGTAAATATTCAGCTTCAACTTTTTTTCATAATTTTGGATTAAAAAAAACCAAAAACAAGAAACTGCAAAATCCAACTTTGAAAAATAGGTTTTTTTTTCATATCTGTTACATAAAAGTTTACCAAACACTATAATACTGTTTTTTTTTTTTCCTAAAACACTTTTATAAAAATGTTTACCAAATATTTTGTTGTTTTATTTTAATGCTGCTTATTCCAAAAGTATAGCAGAATCAATTTTTTTTTTCTTCAAATTACAGTAATATGAAACCAGCTTTTAATATCCCTTGTCATTATTGATAATTGAATAATCTGGCCAATTAATACTCTTTTGGATAGCCGGTCTCTCCCCTAGTGGCTTTGTGTTCACATAATGTCCATCGGGTCAACAGTTCGACTGGCACCAGAAGAATCTTTTGGATAGCCTATATCTTTTCGTGTTCCTTTCTTTGCTTTGTTCCTCTCTTTCGGCGGTGTGTCGCTTCCACACGCGAACATTATTATATTATGAACTTTTGACTGAAGGATCTTGATCTGAACACAAACATACACAACAACCACTGCCTTTTTTTTTTTCTTTCAATCGTGATCTGAGCCACTGCAGTACCATAAACGGTGGAGACCGCCATGACCGCCCACGAAGCCTCCTCTTCATCCTCTTTCAAGTCAAAACTTTGGAATTACGACGTATTCTTGAGCTTTAGCGGTGTAGACACGCGCAATGGCTTCACGGACCACCTCCACGCGGCATTAACAGACAGGGGATATCAGGCTTATATCGATCAGGACGATCTAAAAAGAGGGGAAGTAATAAAAGCGGAACTGTTCCGGGCAATTGAAGAGTCGAGAATCTCTATCATTATCTTCTCAAAGAGGTACGCAGATTCAACTTGGTGTCTTGATGAGCTGGTGAAGATCATGGAGTGCAGATCCAAACTGGGGCGACATGTTTTGCCAATATTCTATCACGTTGATCCTTCGCATGTTAGGAAGCAGTACGGAGATTTAGCCGAAGCATTCCAGAAGCACGAAGAGGGCATCGGTGAAGAAAAAGATGACAAGAAACGTGAATTTAAACAAGAAAGGATAAAGCAATGGAGAAAGGCTCTTACAGAAACTGCAAATTTGGCTGGCCACCATCTTCAAATCACTGACAATAGGTAAGTCATTCAGCTGCTTTTCAAGATTTGAAACCTGTTAGTGAATGACTTAATCTCTCATATAATTAACATGCCTTAATTAACATTTTACAGAAGCTAAACATTAATTAGCATGATTACGTGAATATCTTATAAAGCGCAATTGGAGTTTAATTAATGAATGATTTTCTTTCTTTTATTCAAGTTGGTCACAAAATCACATATTAGCCGGGTAGGAGCGAGTAGTTTGGTGAACCTACGGTTTGAATCTGAGCTATGGCTGCGAAATGGAGGCGGGGCTAATTTTTTTTTTTGGGCTTGTGAGGAAGAAAGAAATGAAAAGGTCTGAATTTCAGAGGTTATAGGCCATTGATGGACATAAAAAAAAGGATATTTAAAGAGATTTTTTTTGGGGGGAAATCGGTGAGGTTTATAGGGAGAAAGTGGAGAGATGCAGTTAATCTGAAACTCCCTAGGATTAAGTCGTACAAATTGAAAATATCTGGAACGGATTTTAATGGAAATGAGATTTTAAAGGGGTTGGTAAGCCTGGAAGGGGTTGAGTTCATCTGGAACTCTCTTGAAATGGGATTTCAATGGGTTGGTGGGAGCTGTGTTGAATGAAGTGAAAATATCTTGGTTAAAAAGAATAAAATATTTAAGAAGTGATGAAAAAGTAACAAAAAAAAGTATATAAGGTCTAAAAATAAATTAGTCTTTGACGTAGTCCGACACTTTATCAAACGCTTCATTATTCTTATACTACTTAGTTCATGCCAAACCAATCTAATTTAGTTCGTGAAGTTAGTCTAGTGCAACAAACGCACTTCACGTCTGCTAGGGTTGGAGGAAAAGAAACAACGGCACAAATGTAATTACATTGAAATTGAGGGTCCATTCCATAAAGTTCACCGACCTCACGAGTGTGATTTAGCTCTCTATTGTCCACCAAGAAAACTTCAAACAATGCATAGAATAGATTTATTGCATCGGTTACTATTCTTGAATAGTACAAAAGAGATAAAAACAACTAGGAAAAAAAAAAGTGTTTATTTACTGATAGATGCTATTAAACTTTCATTGAATCCCACCACTGCTTACCGATTCATTTTTTAGGCGCGAAGCAAAGCTGATTAGAGAAATTATTAAAAAGATTACAGAATGGCTTCCAAGCGCAAACAAATTACATGTGGCCAAGCACCAAGTTGGAATTAGTTCTCGCATTCAAGATATTATCAGACATCTTTCAAGTGGTGGATCAAATGACGTTGTCATGGTTGGAATTTGGGGGATGGGTGGATTGGGTAAAACAACAGTTGCCAAAGCCATTTATAACCATGTTTATCATAAATTTGAATTCAAAAGTTTCCTCACCGACGTTAGTGACACTGTAAATAAACATGGTATGGTTCACTTGCAAGAAAAACTTATTTTTGACATCTTGAAAAGGAAGTCTCAAATAAGTAGTGTTGATGGAGGTATCAGTCTGATAAAACAACATTTTCAACATAGAAGGGTACTTGTCATCATCGACAACATAGATGAAGTGGAACAACTAAATGCAATAGCTGGAAATCATGATTGGTTTGGTCCAGGAAGTAGAATTATCATAACGACACGAGATGAACATTTGCTAAAGCAAGTGGATAAGACATATCCGGCTCAGAAATTGAATAAAGGAGAAGCTCTGGAGCTCCTTAGTTGGCATGCATTTGGAAATAGTTATCCGAATGAAGGATATCTTGAACTCTCACAAAAGGTTGTTTCTTACTGTGGAGGTTTGCCACTAGCCCTTGAAGTTTTAGGTTCCTTTTTAAATAAAAGAACCATACCAGAGTGGAAAGATCAATTGGAGAAATTGGAAAAAACTCCTTATGAAAAAATAGTAAAACCATTAAGAATAAGTTTTGACGGGCTAGATGATACACAAAAAACTATCTTCCTTGACATATCTTGTTTTTTTATTGGATGGAACAAAGACTATGTTGCAAAAGTATTCGATGGATGTGATTTTTTCCCTACAATAGGAATCAATGTCCTTCGTGAACGATGCCTTGTAACTATTGAAGACAACGAGTTGAATATGCATGAGTTGCTTCAAGAAATGGCCAAAGTAATTATTTCTGAAAAGTCCCTTGGTCATCCTGAAAAATGGAGTAGGTTGTGGAATCCTCAAGAGGTCACCGAAGTATTGGAAAATGAATTTGTAAGTACATTCCCAATAAAATTTTGTATTAATGCATCGTACAAGAAAAGTATATATGTAACATCACGTATGTCTATTATACATTAAGCAACATTCATGTGTAAATATATGCGGTTGCACAAGGAAAGCTCAATTAGCCAACAATACTTGTATATATATATATATATATATTCAACATACGTGATTTTGCCTAATGAATAATAATACATGTAAATATATTGCAAATAATCCGTTTCTTACCGGTATAAACTTTTGTTTACAGGGAACTGAAGAAGTTGAAGGACTTGCTCTAGATAATTCTTTTTCGTATGACATGTCGAGCTTCAGTACAGAAGCATTTGCCAATATGAAGAAACTGAGATTGCTTCAGCTCAACAACGTAAAGCTCAATGGAGAATACAAACATCTTCCCAAAGAGTTAGTATGGTTGTGCTGGCATAGATTCCCTTTAGAGTCCATACCAGATGACTTTTTTAATCAACCAAGACTAGTTGTTTTAGAGATGCAGTATAGCCAATTGGTACAAGTTTGGAAGGGTTCCAAGGTACGTACAATCAATTACACATTATGATGTTCAGTTTTTATTTGTTTTTGGATTTCCTTCATTTTTTTCCCTTTTTTTTTTTTTTTTTTTTTTTTGGTTTGAGATCTTCCTTTTGAATATTTATTTCAATTTTTCTTTGGTTTTCTATAACAGTTGCTTCAGAAGTTAAAAATTATTCATCTCAAGTGTTCCCATTTCTTAACTCAATCACCAGACTTTTCACAAGTCCCAAATCTTGAAGAGTTGATATTGGAACATTGTGTCAGTCTGTCCGAGATTCACCCCTCCATTGGTCATCTTAAAAGACTTTCTTTGGTGAACCTTCAAGGATGCAAAGTGCTTATCTCGCTTCCAAGGGATTTCTATAAGTCGACATCTGTTGAAACTCTTTATCTTAATAACTGTTCAAATTTCAGAGAACTGCATGAGGATTTAGGGGGGATGACATCGTTGAGAATACTTGAAGCAAATTTAACATCAATAAGACGAGTACCACCTTCCATAGTAAGATTGAAGAATCTCACTCGTTTATCCCTACATGGTGTGAAAAGTATTCATTTGCCGTCTTCGTTACACGGCTTAAACTCTTTAAGAGAATTAGATCTCTCATTTTGCGAATTAGCTGATGATCCAATCCTAAGGGATCTTGGGAGTCTAATTTCTTTACGACATTTGGATCTTGAATGGAATAATTTTCACACCCTACCCAGCCTGAGTGGTCTTTCAAAGCTTGAAACATTGAGGTTAAGTGGATGCAAATATCTTCATACAATCCTTGATTTACCAACAAATTTGACATTTCTGTATGCGTTTAATTGCCCTGCATTGGAAACAATGCCCAATTTTTCAGAAATGTCAAATATGAGAGAACTGAAAGTAAGTAATTCAACCAAACTTACTGAGGTACCAGGCTTGGATAAATCATTAAACTTCATGACATGGATTAGCATGCAAATGTGTCCCAATCTCACAGCTGATTTTCGGAAGAACATTCTACAGGTATCTCTCTCTCTCCTAAGTTTTAAATGCCTTCCTATCGTGCGCATGCACACGCAAACACACATGTACGTGTATATATATTTACATGACACTTGCATTTTTGTATATATAGGGATGGACTTCTTGCGGACTTGGTGGTATATCTCTCCATGGGAATTATATTCCTGATTGGTTAGAGTTTGTCAATGATGGCAATAAAGTCAGTTTTAATATTCCTCCGAGTGATGATCGTAATTTTAAAGGGCTGACTGTGTTGTGCATTTACCGCTCAGGCAATAGAATTGATCGTCATCTTCCTCTTGACGTTACTGTTATAAATAATACCAAGCGTACTATGTTACGGGCCTACATAGGCATAACAGATTGGGAGGAGCTAATATATGAAGACGATTATCTTTGGCAGGGACAATTATCTAACGATAAGCTCAATTTGCAAGGCGGGGATAAAGTTGATATAATTTTTGAAGACTCTTTTGCGAGTTTGCATCCTGATTATTATGTGACAATGAAGAAAACAGGGGTTAATCTAGTATGGGACAAAACTATGATGGAAAATATGCATGATTTGGACGAAGCCAGTTATGTTTTTGACCCACATCCAGCTCGGTTCTATGATGCATCTGATAATAATCATCCCATAATCTAGAATCACTACAGATGACAGAAGTGGAAGAAAAAAAAATATTTTGAAGTGAAAGCATCATCTCTGGAATAAATCACACCCAGATCGGTTCTATGGTCAGGCACGATCAAGGCAGTGATGCGTCGTCAACATCAGGCTCATCCTCATCATCACATATATGAGTTCCTGGACTACAGATCACCACCAACTTCATCATCAGCAACAGCAAGTCGATATTTCATACTTCTTTCAGATTCTTATGATTTTTCAAGTAAGTAATTGTTTTGAATTTCGAAGAAATATTGCATCCATAAACATTTCAACATTACAAAAATCGATATAAGACATGCATCCAATAATTCAAGAAATACCACTCGAATTCGCAAAAATACTTGCCCTACAAATGCACTCAACATTTTTTTGTCAAATGCAGGGTCTAATTTTACCGGCTTAACCATACTTAGTAGTCAACACTAGACATTACATAATCGAGTTACTTGTAAACATACTTAAACAGATAAGATACCGCATCGATGATAAATACAACTTCATGGAGATAAAAACAACTCTTTTCCTTCTCTAGTTTAATCTTTCATTTTCAGGTTTGGGACGTGGTAGATAAATTCAATTATTCAAGCTAAGGGCTCAAGTCTATTCATCCCTGCCGTTCTATTTCTAGTTGAAGTAAAATACATAAGCTTACTCACCAATACGACCCGTACCAATAAATTTGGTCTGACAACATCCTTGGTGTTGACCAGGAACACATCACCAATGTAAAGATGGTTCGGGGGAACATAAACACAGCATAACTCTTCGTCTCTGGAATAGCTCTGCAAAATAATTCTTTCAGTCCAACCAAGGGTACTGAAATTTTCTATAAAGTTCACCTGGGGATATGGCAGAACTAATCTGCTTGGAGGCATTGTATATATGACGAACAAACGGCATTCTTTTGATGAACCACTCTCCAAGGCCAGGACAGATGCACTGATATAAAAGTCAAGAATCCAGAGCCATACGGCTCTAATTCAAAGAGACATAACAATTCTGCGGTACACCTGACAAGTAATAAGTCAAGTACAGCTGACAATTTAGGTAAGTGCAGATATGTGATCATTTTGTGTTATATGTGCATATATATTTGTATAATACATGGAAGCATCTCAATTAGGTGGTTTTCTTTGGGACTAACACTTCATTAAGAGTGGTAGTTGTGAAGCCTTGATTGATGATCTCCATAATTATCTCATTAATTCCTACAAATTAAAATTTCCTGCCAAATGTGCAGGAAACGAGCCTGTTGGCAGCTTGACATCTGGATTGCAAGTAAATGAGGAGCATCAGCGAGAACCAAGCACCGGGAGGGTAGTTGTCCTTGCAATTGGAGAGTGGAGTATCAGGTCACTGCTGCACAAAAGACTCTGCAATAAGAAAATCTTCCTAGCATTTGGAGTTTGTATTTTACCACTATATCGTGTGTACCGTAGTACCCAAATCAACGTAGACCAGGTGCCCCCACTCGTATCATACATTCTCATATGGTAGCCTAACTGAATATGAATACTTCTGCCATTGCATAACCTGAAATACATAAAATCGTCTGAATTCATTTGAAACAGTTTTGAGCATGAACTCTAATTTCCATCTTGTTGTCAGAGTTAAGAACCAGAAATGTCACTTGAATAAACGGTTGTAAACCCACTGAAATCAACTGAGATTCTGCACCTTGTCAATACATTCAAAAACTTGGTCTTTGGCATCATCTAAAACATTTCTTCTTTTGAAACAATGAAGTCAGAGAGAACCAGACTTGCAATCATAATCCGTTTGAATTTCAACGTCAGAATTGCTCGGTAAAGGTGTTTCATGTTTTTGCAGGATGACTGGACAAACTAGTTTGAATTGTTGATCCAATGTGCGTTGACATGATTCAGGGATTGAAACTGAAGACTGAACATTATGTATGGGATAACAATCAGCATCAAAATGATCCTTCTGTGAGCAATTTGATGTGTAGGAAAATCAGGTGGTGGTGAATTAAGATATGAAGATGGCGGTGAGCCAAGAACTCCTGGTGAAAATTGAGGAAAAGACTTGTAGGTATTAAATCTTTCACCATATTGTAACTGAACTGATCTTTACCACTATTAAATTCTATATTTCTTGATTGGTAAGATACAACAACGATTCACCAGTATAAAGGTGATTTGTGCGGCTAATCTCTACAACCTTATTACTTAACAGATTCTAACAATACTCACTCTTATGCTTATCAAGTGACAAGTGTATCAATCCACACCATCCACACAAGAGTGGAAGCTCGAAAACTACTGGATAGGGAGGAGGGTGCAGAGTACATGGAAAACATTTTTCCACTTTACAGGTAACCGCTAACCCTGTGGTATTCAACGACGAAAAGTTATCCTATTCATTTGACTCGTCTTTTCTCTAAATATGCAAGTGGGTTTTCTTGCAGTTTATTCGGATACATCCCTCTACATATGCTCATGTATGCTGCAGATGTATACTTCTGGAGGCGTGTGTCAACCATGCCTTTATATTTGGCTTCAAGAAAGGAACTGAGCACAGTTACTGCGAAGTTTTCCTCCTTAGCACTGGTCTTGCAGTACTTTCGTTGGGTGGTTTCCTGGCAAACTTACACTTGGACTTGAGTACTTAAAAATACAAGACTCTGACTGAATTGGCTCCTTTGGGCTTACTTCTTGTAATTTTTGTAAGTGCCAGAGTCTACGTTCAAATGCGTTTGTTACTCTTATTCACGTTGAAAATGGATATGGAGATAGATAGTTTCACTTGTTTTCTAGCTTATAATTTTCGTATAGTCTCCAGAAGATCATGTCTTCTGTGTGGAAGGATGCACTTGCAGATAGCATATCTTGTCTTGCCTCGTCGATTCTGTGATGACAAGGATGTTAAGTACATTGCAATGGTTTAAAGTACTTATCGACAATCGTTGCAGTTATTATACGAACTGTTTATGAAATGAAAAAGGGAAAGACCTCCTGGATGGTGGTAGCTTTGATTAGCTCCGCTGTTGCAACGACAATGAATACGTATCAGGACATTGTAATAGACAGGGGCCTTCTGCGAAAAACATCAAAGAACAAGCATTTGAGAGATAGGCTTCTAGTTTCACACAATACCGTATACTTTCCAGCCATGTTAAGGTGTAAGTGACGGAATCCGAGAGCGATGGGGTTTTGTGTTACAGTTTCTACTATTAATTCCCAGTATGCTTATGTGTGTTGGAATTTAAACTGCGTACCATTCATAAAATGACAATAACAACCATCATTTGCCTTCTAGAGGTCATTCGTCGTGGCATTTGGAGCTTCTTCATGGTAATTTTTCTCATGAAATTCAACATTGAGACTTTTTGCAGTTTTTGTCTTCAGTCGTTGCATCCTTTAAGTAGCTTATGCTTGAGAGGATAACGTGTTCGATTTAATCAGGTTAGAGAACGAGCACTTGAACAATGTAGGCCAGTACTGCGCTTTCAAGTCAGTCCCTCTTCCCTTGGGTTACTGCGATGTGGACGCTGACAAGGATGACTAAACATGACAGTCTCGCTCCATTCATACACCTTAGTATAATAAAGCAACAAACCAAGAACAAACGTACGATCACTGGTTAATTATATATATGGAATAGCCTTGTTCATTGTTGATCCTGAACAAAGTTCTCTGGTTCTGGTTCATGAGAAATTGTATATAGGGAAAAGCATATATTCACGAGTCCATCAATTTGTCGACCTGTTAGTTAGTCGTCAGAGTATACCATTTACAAATTTCCCAAAAAATCAGAACAAAAGAACTACTGATGCAACTCTGCATTCAGCAAAAAAATTAATGGAGAAGGGGAGAAAAAAAGAAAGAAAGTTTCAGCAGCTTGTAGACAATTTGTGATGTTTGCGATTTTCTTTGCCTACAAATGTTTGCCATGGTCTTCATCATAGTTGAAGGGCAGTGGCACTGACTTGAATGCTCTGTACTTTCCGACATTGTTCAGATGCTCATTCTCCAACCGGAAAAATTTACATATCCCTCAGACAAATTATTTCCAAGCTCGCCCCAACAGTGATCATTGTCTGTCTATGCATGAAGGAGACATTGAATCTCAAAACTGTCTGCAGCCAGGTAAATCTCAGCAGCACATTCAACACCTGCAGTGTTTTGTCAACAAATCAGTCAGAAAATTTTAAGCATTGCACAAATCGAAGTAAAACTTATACTGTCGGACTGAATCTGAGGCATTTATCAAGAGCACTGACCATCGCTATGAAGTACACGCTTTTGTAAGGAACCAAGAGTTTGTCTCTCAACCATCGGTTCTTGAAGTGGCGTTGCAGAAGTCCCCAGTCCCAATATGTTCCAAAGATGGCTGCAACGATTGAGAAAATCCCAGCAAGAACTTTCCAGTTCACATCGTCGGTAAGTGTGTAGGCTATCCTCATGCTAACTGCTACTATGATTAAGAAATATTTCAGTCCATTGTAACCTTGCATCGGATCTTTCTCGTCAACCAAACAGCGGATGCACTGAAGGAGGCCGGACCAATATGGAATGCACGCAACGAGGAAACTGAAAATTTTGAAGACGTCACTTGATCTGCAAGTTGTTTCTCTGACCTTGTAGTCTCCCCAGCCATAATAGCAAATGTAGAATTGCAGACTTCTAAAGGCTTCCACCTGGCTAGTTAACTGATCTACCAAGAAGAAATTCGGCAGTGTGACCTGTAAAGGAATCGAAACTTTATTTTTAACTCAAAAAATGAAGGTGTCTGCAGTGGAATTTTACCTTATAGAAAGGAGCGCAGATGCTGTGGAACACACAAACAAGGAAGAAGTAGCGACTCGAGCGATATATGATGTTGAAGGGTTCTCCACTTTGATCCGAAACGCAATCAAAGCGTTCATTTGCTTGTTCAGAACTGCAGCTTCCTTCATCACCTCGTCAACCTTCGACTTACAAGACTTGTCAACTTTATTAAACTCATCGTCGAGCTTCTTGAAAATGACATGTGTTTGTACCATACTTGACCAATCCGGAAACTACTAAGCACCGGTCAAAAGCATACCGTTAAGGACCCACAAGACTTTTACTCCAACCAGGAGGTCAATCACAACACGACACATGTCGGTATCAGAGGCCAGTCACAACATGACACATGTCAATGTCAGAACAAAACTAGAAACTCTCTTCTATAAAAGGGGATCATTCTCCCACAATAATCCCTAATGTCATTTGTACTAAACTATTCACTAGAACTCACTAAAAGAGAGCTTGAACCTATGTATTTGTGTAAACCCTTCACAACTAATGAGAACTCCTCTACTCTGTGGACGTAGCCAATCTGGGTAAACCACGTACATCTTGTGTTGTTTGCTTCCCTGTCTCTATTCATTTGCATACTTATCCACACTAATGACCAGAGCAACCTAGCGAAGGTCACAAACTTGACACTTTCTGTTGTACCAAAGTCCTCGCCGATTTTGTGCATCAACAACATGTTTGGAGATATAAATGCGTTGAGTAAGAGGATCCAAGCACCAGTACCCTTTATGTTGAACATTGTAACCCAAGGAAACACAATGTTACTTTTACTATCCAATTTGGAAGAGATGTAAGGTTTGAGCCATGGGAAGTAGCTACAACCAAATATTTTCAACCGTGAATAATCTGGAGAAATATGAAACAAAAGTTCCGAAGGAGATTGAGGAATACCATATATAAGAAGTCTGTTAATCAAATAGGCAACAGCTGAGAATGCTTCAACCCAAAACTAATGAAGAACCTGAGATTGAACTAACAAAGTCTTTGCAGTTTCAACTAAATGTCTGTGTTTATGTTCAACACAACCGTTTTGTTCAGGGGTATGGGGACAACTAAATTGTCGTAAAATACCATGAGACTTAAGATAAGATTGAAACTGATTTCCAGTAAATTCACCCCCTGAGTTAGATTTGACAATGATTTTATTTCCAAGAACATTTTCTACATAGCATTGAAAGTTTACAAAAGTGGAGTACGCATCTACCTTAGATTTCAAGGGAAAAAAACCAACAGTACCTAGTGAAATCATCAACAATGAGCGTGTAGTACTTATAACCACTCACAGACAACACAGGTGAGGGTCCCCACAAGTCACAATGCAACAAATCCAAACATTTTAACGAAAATGAACTAGTACTACTAAAGGGCAGTTTATGATTCTTCGCTAAAGCACAGTCCTTGTAGAAGAAATCCAATGTAGATTTTCCTTGAAGTGCAAGTTGAGTAGTAGAGAGTACCCTTCTGAAAATGGCAGAAGAAGGGTGGTCAAGTCTGCCATGCCACACCTTTGTAGAGGCTTTATTACTTACTAATGCAGTAAGAGAAGATACTGGAGAGTGATAAGATGTAGAGGAGCTTTGAAGAAGGAAGAAACCATCCTTAACCAGTCCCCACAAAAGCATCATCCCCGTAGTAGGATCCTTGACATATGATCCATCAATATCAAGAGTCAATGAACATTTGTTGTCTTTAATAAACTGTTAAGCAGAAAGAAGATTGTGTTGCATTTGAGGCACATGTAAGACATTGTGCAACTGAATGTAGAGTGTGGAGTATGCAACAAAGAAGAACCAATATGAACAATAGATAGACCTTTACCATCACCAATGTACACTTTGTCTTCTCCATGATAAGGATTGGGAGATTGAATGTTGAAGATATCATTTGTAATATGAGAAGTAGCGCCAGAGTGAATTAACCAGGATGGAGTATTAGGCTTCATTGAATGATGATCACACATTGCAGCCAACTTTGCAGAGGGTACTTTACCAGCAATCTCAGGATTCATGTGATCATAACAGTCCATAGCCTCATGACTATTGGAACCACAGATTTGACATTGTATACAATAACTAGATGTATTGAAATTGTGAGAGCCATGATAATTTCCCCGGTGATTGGAATGATTACCTTTGGGATTGTAATTGGAACCACGATTGCCACGATTATTGTAGTTATGACCTTGATTGTTGTAGCGGTTGCCTCAATTACCAAGATTGTGCTTCACAAAATTCTGTGATTGAGGATACTGAGTTGCAAAGACTTGTGGTGTAGGAAGAATAGGAGCTTTAAGAAGCCTGAGTATGAACGGAGAAGGCTTGAAATCGTTATGTGGCAGTGGAGGAAGCAAGTTTCTTTCTTCGGACAATTCTTTGGTGCGAAACAAACCGTGCAATTCATCAAGTGTTGTGGGAGAAAGATGAAGCATAATAGAATCGATCAACAACTCATATTCATCTGGCAAGCCAACAAGTGTAGCAGCAATTAAGTCACGATCGGTAACCGAAGCACCAGCAACAATCAAGGAATTAGAGATCTCTTTGATTTGCTGCATATATTTAGAGATTGACAAAGATCATTTCTGAAGAGATTGAAGGCGATATCTCAATTAATGAATGTGTGCATTAGAAACACTCCCAAATCGTTGCTCCAATTTGATCCATAGATCGTGAGATGATGAAACGCCAACCGAGAACGGAATAACTTCTTCAGAAAGGATAGAATTTAACCAAATAAGGATGTTATGATCTTTCTCATACCAAATTTCAAAGGCCGGATTTAGCGAATGATCTGGAAGTAGATGAAAAGGACAAGGTTTTGTGCCATCAATGACACCAAGGAGTTTGTGGTGGCGAAGAATCGGAGCGAACAAAGCACGCCATGGAAGATAATTGGAGCGTTTAGCTTGATCGAAACCATACTGCCAATATTCTGAATCGTAAGAGAAGTATATGAATTGGAAGGGTTAGGGTTTAAGGAAGATGAAATTTGGGCTGGATTTGGCACCGACTCGTGAGAGAATTCTAACGGAGAAGCCATTGATACACACAATAGAGCTTCACAAGAACACAAATCAAAGAAACAGAGAGAAAATGTCGTCGAGAATCAAAGAGTGCAAGCGGAAATTAGACGGATCGAAGTCGTCGGAAGGCAGAGGGCGAGTGATATCATATTGAGCCTTACAGAGGAAGCTTAGAGAGGAAGAAAACTCTAAACTGAAAATACTTGTATTTCTCATTAAAAATAATTAGTTATACACTTGGTATTTATAGTGTTAACAGAACTAGCACTTTACACATATACCCTTAGTAATACTAACAATTACATATTCAAGTATAACTATACAAAGAAGAAAAGAACATTACACCTATATTTGATTACTCTATAAGGTGTTGTAATGTCCAGGATAATCTAAACACAAGTTATGTGCAACTTATTTTGGATGGAAGATTTAACGAAGTTAGAATGGGATGACAAATTATAATTTCAAAAAATTAATTTAACAAATCACTTAAATTTTTAATTCATATGACAAATTAAAAAATAATGTATACGTTTATGATATTTTAAAAAATTTCTCAAAATAGTCTTCTAGAATATGATCTTGAGGAATATGGGCTTCTCTAAAACCTTAGCATGGTCAAAGGATTGGATGAAGATGAGGCTCCGTGCGCAGCCGGACGAAACACGTGGTCTTGGACTCTTGAGATAATATATTTTTTTGGATACGATCGTTATAGAAAATGTTGAAATTTCGCATCAGACAGCTAAGAACCGATCGTGAGATTAATGACTCTCAACTAGCTGAAGTCCCCATGCCACATCCTCACAGTGTCTCACATGAGGCAAAATTGCACCCGTATCCACTTTTTTCTTTGCCTTGCAGTCATAAAACGGGGGAGCATGAGAGCAAGGCTCCATCGACCTGACCCGACCACAAGGCGGATCCGGCGTCGTTCGATTCTCCGGCTTGTACAGAATCCATGGTTTTAAACCTCCAAGACCTTGAGCCACGTACCCGAAAGTTGACTGCGCACTTGTGACCAACATATCACACAGACTGAGCAGATACATTTCTACCCAAGCTTTCCGGTCATGCAGATTCTTATCTGTCTGCTGATGCTCTTCGTGACTAGGCTGGAAAACCCCGATTGTGTCCCCATTCACAGTCGGATGTTCCCAGTACATGTTCCTCACATCCTCAGAATACCCCGAGGTCAAAGAAGTAATTAAAACCGACTTCAGTATCGGCATCCCTGATGAAGCTGTGACGATTGGTTTCCTCCTTTCTACCAGAGGCAGTAGTTTCTCCTTGAAAACACACGCATAAATTTGGTTCATCACATGCGGAAAGGGACTAGGCCCCGGCTCAAAAGTTCGAACTTGAATCCCAATCCTCTCATCTGCATTTGCTAAGTAAGCTTGGTAGTACCTTGTGATCATCCCCCATACATGATTTGAAGGGTGGAAAAGATACTTACCCAAGAGGTGGAAAACCGTTTCCTTTTCGGGGAAGAGCTTTTCGAGTTCTTGCTCGAAAGATGGCATCAAGAAAAGCGATGGAACAAAGTAGATGTTTGTTCTCATTACCAACCATGGCACTTTCTCAATAGGAATTTGCTCTTCATCACAGAAAAAAAGTTTGTCTTGATCATCATTATTATGAACCAGATGGAGATACAGAAAAGATGTGACTGATTCTGGTGAAGTGTTCTTAGTGTTGTTCTTTTTCAAAATGTTTCCATGACAATGGGGAGATTTCTGATCAAGTGTGACGAATTGATCTTTTAAGGGGAAGTCATTAGGCAACAGCCATGAGTTTTCAGGGAAGGGCTCACAGAAGAGGTCAGCCATGTCCGTTCCAGGGTCGACAAGAAGGACTCTGTTAGAGAGCAGGGCATAGAGGAAGGCGGAGGATATGGTCAGTATCTTGTTCCCCAAGCCACTGTAAGATATCCAAACCACATACTTGCACTCTTCTGAACTATCAGCGCTAGTGCTGCTAGGGTTACTGCTGGACTTGAGTTGTTCTAGGGTTTTGTTGTAGGGTTTGGTGTGGGGTCCACATTTCTTGTGGAGATCTTCATAGCTTCTCAGTCTGGAGAGAAGATGAGAAGATGGTTTTTGTGGTGAAACTTTTCTGTATGAATTGGATTGATATCTGCTCAAGCAAGAGGCTTCATCAAATCCAGGAGCAATTAATCCATCTTGTAGCTTATCTTCGGAATCATACTCTGCACGCACATAGCAATTGACAACATGAAAGAAAGTAAGAAAATGAGCGGAATATATATAGACATATACTGAAAATATGATTTTAGCCCTTGAAACTCAAGTTTCTTTACATAAAACCCAACATAGTCTTTTTACTTGAGTAAAACCCAATGATTAGGTTCCGCATAAGCAAATTCATTAATTCTGTTTAACTTTACAAATTTTACATTTTCTAGATGCTTAAAATACCCTAATTACAATTTTAATATATACATTTAATTCTATGCAGATTTGAAGAGAGGGATTAATGAAAAAAAATGTATTAATGTTTAAATTCATTGCATATTAATAAATCATAACAAATTGTATATTAATGCTTCTGGCCAAAAAAAAAAAATAATAATAATGTTATACTTTCCTTTAGATTTCGTAATTGTTTTCCAAATTTGCATAAAATTAGACAATTTTAATTTAATCTTGTCATTTTTTACCAAATGGAAACCGAAAGGGTGGAATAATTTACATAAAAACATAGGTAAATTATTTGGACATATGTGTTAGTAATAAAATATTCCCAATATATGTAATAGTACATGCAAAATAATTTACCTACAAAAAAAAAAAATGTTATTTGATTCAATATTAATTTATCTACATTTGATATAATAAAATATAATTGCAAATATATATTACTAAAATGTGCCCAATATATGTAATAATGTATGTAAAATTATTTACCTACAAAATAAAGGTATGTAAGTTGATTAAAAAAATAATATATCTACTACTAAAATGCGCCCGGTATATGTAATAATGCTTTTAAAAAAATTACCTACAAAATAAAGGAATGTAATTTGATTGAAAATATAATATATCTACTACTTTTTGTTTTTGAATTTCAATCTTCCTTTTTTTTTTTTTAGAAACATAATGTACCTACAATATAATTTACCTATTGTTTAATTCTTATAAAAAGTTTAATTTACTTATACTTTACATATAAATATGGATAAATTATTTTTGACACACATATATAATAACAAATCAAAATGGCTAATGTATATAATAATCTGTGTAAAATAATTTATCTACAAAATAAAAGAATATTAATTGATTCTTGATTTTTTTTTTTTTATCAAACAATATTATTTGATGCAAAATAACTGATTATACAAAGAATCTTTTTTTTTTTCCATATGAAAAATGTGCCTATAATTGTTTATGAATATGGGTAAATTAATATATATATATATATGTATAAATGTTAATAATATTAATTTATGAAACAAAAAAGGTAAAATTTCCATACGGCGTTAATTGCTAATCATAATTAGGGTGAGTAATAATATTTATTAACATAATTAGGGTCTTGTGGCATAAGTTCTAAATATGTTGTAATAATTGGTTATATATTTATCAAAATAGTACTCTCTTTGAAATTTGAGTTTTATTTGAATGTTTAATATTAATCGGATTTTTGTTTGAAAAATAGGATTTTCAAGGGTCATTCTCTAAAGAACCTAATTAAAATAAACAAATTTTGATACCCAAACTCCCAATCTTGCATGCAGGAAAAGTAACCATTAGAATTAACGTAGAAAACTCATTGTTATACTTTCCTTGCATTTTTCTCTTGAGCCAAACAATGAAACAAATATTAAAGAAACTATCAAATATGTTACCCCGTTTCGTTTCATTTGGAACGAGTGTTTCGATGATTCTGGCGTCGGCGAAGGCGTTGATTCGTTCAGGAGGCGGGTTTCGAAGAACAACACAGAGGTTGACGAAAAACAGAAGAGAGACCAAGAGGGCTGACAATAGCTTGGTCAAAGTCATGGGAGTAATCTGCCTGAATTTCGATGAGAGAGATCTCAGAAAACTGAAATAGTGAAACTGATAGATGGCTAGAAGAATTGCAGACAGTGGTTGATAGTTTTCTGTATTCATTTAGAGCAAAGAGACTAAAATATGTACAAATACACCAATCCAAGCACCTTCTTCTACGGCACAGAAAACGTGATCCGCCTAAGGTGGGATTTGGTGCAACTGGAAGATTCTAAAATATGATATTGGTGTTCAACTGGATATGGAAGTCAGGACTCCAGAAGGCTGTTGCTGCAGAAGACTCGGCGGCCTCGGCAGGAGGAAAAGAATCACGTGGTCTGGCCCCTTGGTTCCCGCAACGCTGGTGGTTTTGATTTGCTCGGCCATTTGAGGTTCCTGTACTGTTGGAACCAACGCGTGATAAATGTACATTGCTATTATTTATTCATGATATTTATTATTTGGAGCAAGTCTTAAAATTTCCTTTCCATTCCTCCCTCTCTCCCAAAACACTCCAACATTTGTTTTAAAATGGAGTTAAGTGTTAAAACTTAAAAATAAAAATAAAAATAAAACCAAATTCCAGCTAAGATTTAGCCCAAAGTAATAGAGTCCACATATGAGGGTTAGAAAAAGCAAGTGAAAGGAGACAAAAAGTATATTATTTTCATTACTTATATTATGAGATGTAAAGTACTGTTTGAAACCCGATGCATAAAAAAAAAATCTGTAAAGCTCAAAACAATTAGCACAGAATAATCTGGGCCCAGCAAAATAAATGATTAATCTGAAATTTGAACTTCTTCTTCTTCATGAATCCAAAGACACGCCCATCAATGAAATTGGAAAAAGAAGCCCAAGCTTAAGTACTCAAAGCCCATCAACTAAAGTCTAAAGAGGCGGCGGAGGACGGAGGGAACGTCACCACGACCAAAATCGGCGGCCTTGATTTCGGGCATATCTAAAATTTACCCAATTAGGCTGGCGGCCTGGATTTTCGGGGCATATTTCGAATCAAGCTAGATATACACTAATCATATATTAGCATTCATTAAATCAAAAGATTAAAGCTAAACGACAGAGATTAGCAAAATTAACGATCACCAAACGAACAGGACAAAAGTATTCGTAATCGACGATTTGGGATTTATCCACTCCCAGTTTACAAGCTTACGGAGCTGAGCTGAGTTACCGCGAAGTTTTCCTCCTTGGCACTTAGGATGCGCTTCCTACAGGTCTCATTACATTTTTCACTTTCTAGTACGTTCAAACACGTGTGCTACTCTTATTCACGTTGAAAACGGATATGGAGATTGGAGATAGATAGTATCACTTGTTTTCTAGCTTATAATTTTCGTAGTCTCATGTCTTCTGTGTGGAAAGATGCACTTGCAGATAGCATATTGTTGACTTTTAAAGTTTCTATTTTTTGTATTGGTTCATCGTACTGAGAACAAAAACAAGATACAAATATATAGAGGAGTTTGAGTGAGTTGCAAACTACACTCAACACTCAAGACCCTAACCTAGGACTTTTTTGAATCACACTGTGAAGCCGGCATAGGGAACATAACTAAGCTCCTTCGATTAAGGAGATGACAACCAGATAAGACCCTTATACAAGTTGAGAACAAGAAGAAGAAAACAAACGGCTATTAACTAGATAAAACACTACTAGGGTAGACACAAACCCTATTACACATATAATACCGAGAAACCCTAATCCAGTGAGACCCTAAATACCCAGAGGACTTTCAATACTCCCCCTCAAGCTGGATCCAGAAGGTTGATGGATCCAAGCTTGCCGAGAAGCCGCTGAAATTGAGGAGATGCTAAAGGTTTAGTGAATAGGTCTGCGAGTTGATCGTAGCTCTTGACAAAATGAGTTTTGATGACCTGTGATTGTACTTGTGCACAAACATAGTGACAATCAACTTCGATGTGCTTGGTTCTCTCGTGGAAGACGGGGTTGGAAGCAATGAGCATTGCTGCTTGGTTATCACAGAAAAGAGACATGAACTGAGGAGTAAAGACACCTAAGTCGCATAGCAAACCTTTCAGCCATATTAGTTCACATGCAGTAGATGCCATGGCTCGATATTCAGCCTCAGTGCTGGATCTTGCAACAACTGCTTACTTTTTACTTTTCCAAGTAACAAGGTTGCCTCCCACAAATGTGCAATACCCCGTTGTAGACTTACGATCAATAGAGTTACCAGCCCAATTAGCATCACAATAACCGGTGATCTCAGTGCTCTCATTCTTCTTCATGATGATGCCACGACCTACTGAACCTTTTAGGTACCGAAGTAGTATTTTGACAAGATTAAAATGCTCCATAGTGGGATAGTGCATAAATTGGCTAGCAATGCTTACTAAATAGGCTATGCCAGGCCTTGTAATAGTCGAGTAGATCAGCTTACTAACAAGACGCTGATAATAGCTGATGTTTGGAAGTGGTTGCCCATCCAAGCTAAGTTTGAGTTTCGTGTCAAGAGGTGTATGGACAGGTTTAGCATCACTCATGTTTGCTTCCTTGAGAAGGTCCAGAACGTATTTCCGTTGGCTGAGAAAGAAACCCTTGTGAGAGGTAGCCATTTCGATGCCAAGAAAATATCTGAGTATGCCAAGATCTTTGATTGCAAAACGTTGTTGTAGTGAATGCTTGAGCTTAGTTATTTCGTCCGTGTTATCTGCTGTGATGATCAAATCATCGACATAGACAAGGACGACCAATTTCCCAGCAGTGCCAGTGCGCACGAACAATGAAGAGTCTGCGTTGCTTCTTTTAAAACCAACCGTTATGAGGACGGAACTGAGCTTGGCATACCAAGCTCTTGGTGACTGTTTAAGACCATAAATTGATTTGTGCAATCTGCACACAATATCAGGTTCATGACTTTGAGGATGACCTGGGGGTAACCTCATGTAGACTTATTCTTCAAGCTCACCATGTAAAAAGGCGTTCTTTACGTCCATTTGATACATAAGCCATCCTTTGTTAACAGCAACTGAAAGGAGTACTCTTACAGAGTTCATCTTTGCAACAGGAGTAAATGTTTCTTTGTAGTCCACATCAAATGTATAAGTAAAGCCACGAGCCACTAATCTTGCCTTGTGTCTTTCTATGGACCCATCTGAGTTGAATTTAACCTTGTATATCCACCTGCAACCTACTGTCTTCTTTCCCTTAGGCAGTGTCTCAATGCTCCAGGTTTTATGTTGATCAAGAGCATGCAGTTCATCTTGCATAGCTTGCTGCCAAACTGGTGATTGATTTGCTTCTTGAAATGACTGAGGCTCAACATGCTCAGATATAGTACACAGGAAAGCAATGTGTTTAGGAGACAGTTTGTGATAGGACACGTAGTTGGACAGTGGATGCCTTGGCTTGTAAGTGACAAAGTCTTGCAGTCTTGCTGGAGGGTGTCTTTCACGAATAGGATTGCGTCGAGGCGTAGTCGATTGCAACTCGTAGGATGATTCCTCAGGAGCAATATTGTGGAGAGATTCATTTTCAGCAGAAGCGTTGGTCTCATTACTTGAGTTTTGGTTGTCATTTTTAGCAGGGAACTTTGTGTGATGAACATGCACCATTGCATCAGGTTGAGTGACTGCAGTGGCAAGGATTTCAGTTCTTGGCAATGGAAACAGATCCAAGCAATACTCCCCCTCACTTGTACTATCCAGAGATTTGCTGTAATGAGGGTTAGTTTCATGAAATCTAACATCCTTGGAAACAATTAACCTCTTAAGTTGTGGATTGTAACATTTGTATCCCTTTTGTGTGGATGAGTAACCAAGGAAAATGCATTTGGTTGCCCTCGGGTCAAGTTTGTCTTGATGTAAGGACTGAACATGGACAAAACAAATGCATCCAAAGACCTTAAGGTGTGACAAGTCTACTTTTCTGTTTTTGACAATTTCCATTGGTGATTTGAACCCCAAAACCCTGCTAGGTAACATGTTGATCAAGTCAGTTGCTGCCATAACACTTTGAGACCAAAAACGTTTAGGTACATTCATTTGGAACATCAATGACTTAGTTTTTTCAAGAAGATCTCGATTTTTTCTCTCGGCAATACCATTTTGTTAAGGTGTGCCAACACAACTAGTTTGATGCATGATGCCATTGTTGCTCAAATATTGAGTCATGACTTGGGACATGTATTCGGTGCCATTATCAGACCATAGAGTTTTGATTTGAGAGGAAAAATGGTTTTTAACAAGACTATGAAAGTCTTTAAACACTTCCATCACTTCACTCTTTGATTTTAACAAATATAGCCAAGTTGCTCTTGAATAGTCATCAACAAACGTTATGAAATATTTGTAACCATCAAAAGACTCACTAGTTGGTCCCCATATATCCGAGTGTACAAGTTCAAAAAGATGAAAAACTCTAGACAAAGATGAACCAAGGGGTAACTTTGTTGCCTTTGACATATGGCAAGTTTCACAATGAATTGGTTCTTTGTCTAAGTCAGGAAACAAGGTGGACAAAACATGTTGAGATGGGTGTGCTAGTCGCTGGTGCCACAAAAACTGATCTTGAATGAAGGCACGGATGGGTATAGACTTGGCTTGTAATCCACTAGAAGAGCTTTTTCGATATGTAATAGAGACCATCTAGGTAAAATCCCTCACCAATCTTCCTCTTGGTGACAAGATCCTGAAAAATGACATTTTTTGGTGAAAAAATGGCTACGCAACTTAAGGAATTTGTGATTTGTCCCACTGAGAGAAGTTGGAATGGAAACGAAGGCACGTATAAGGCCATGGACTCTATTTGATCAGATATCAAGTGAATTTTTCCCTTGCCTACAATCCTAGCACCTTTACCATTAGCTACAGACACATGTGATGGTTTATGAAGTTTCTCAAATTTATGCAATTTTGACACTTGATTAGTCATATGATCTATGGCACCTGAATCTACAACCCAAAAATCATGCAACTCATTAATTTTAAGAGCAGTTTTGAAAGCATTTATGATACCTTTCATGTCTTGTTGAGGTAAGCAATCAGCATCGGCCAGGAAACCAGCAAACTTGCCAAGCAATGCCGTGGTACTTCCATCTTCATGGTCAACAGCTCGATTCTCCCTACCCTTCTTTTGATGGAGATAGGCTGCGAACTCATTTATAAGAGTAACAGGATTTGCAGTGAACTGTTTGTATGGATCAGAACTGTTGAAAGATGAAGATGATGTGGTGTTGGCACGAGGATATGCTCGACTTGTCTTCTGTGTAGTTTTATCCTTCATGAAATCCGGCTTAAGTTCTGGATGCAGGATCCAGCACTTATCTCTCACATGCTCGATGTTGTCACAGTGTAGGCACTTTAGAAAAGGGTTTTTTCCTTTGTATCTTTTTTCATTTGTCAGATAAGCCCTAGCTTTAGTCACAATGGTTTTTGTACCATTGTTCATGACTTTTCTTCTTACTTCCTCACGTTGGATGGTTGCACAAATACTAGTGAAGGATGGTAGCTCAGGATTCATGAGGATATGGCTTCTCAAATCCTCATAGTCTAAGCTCAGGCTAGACATCAATTGAAATATCTTATCTTCTTCAGTTCTTTTAAGAAGCACAGTGGGATCAGTGGTGTGAGGTCTATAAACATCCAGCTCATACCACATGCTTCTTAGAGAACCAAGATGTTGAACAAAGGTTTTACCTTCTTGTTGAACGTTGGAGATATCCTTCTTGAGTTGAAAGATGCGGGCAAAATTATTTTGATTACCATACATCTCCTTCACAGTTGTCCAGAGAGTGAGTGATGACTCGGAATAGCTGAAGATTTCAGCAATCTTCCTTTCCATGGAATTAAGCAGCCATGACATGACCAGTTGATCTTTACAAAGCCACCCTCCATATTCAGGAGAAGTGACTCCAGGAGCAGGATGACTGCCATCAATGAAACCAAGTTTGGATCTTCCACCCAGTGCGAGACTAACCGCTCTTGCCCACGGTAAATAGTTGAACTCATTCAGTAACACTGAACTGAGTCGTTGATTTGGATTGATATCCACTTCAGAGATGTGAGTAGAAGGAGAAGCAATGGTGCTTTCACCCTCTGAATGCTCATCAGCCATATTCTTGCTGAAGGGAAATCACAATGGTGAGATATGCAAAGACAGGCTTCATAAGGATGCCTGCTCTGATACCATGTTGACTTTTAAAGTTTCTATTTTTTGTATTGGTTCATCGTACTGAGAACAAAAACAAGATACAAATATATAGAGGAGTTTGAGTGAGTTGCAAACTACACTCAACACTCAAGACCCTAACCTAGGACTTCCTTGAATCACGCTATGAAGCCGGCATAGGGAACATAACTAAGCTCCTTGGATTAAGGAGATGACAACTAGATAAGACCCTTATACAAGTTGAGAACAACAAGAAGAAAACAAACGGCTATTAACTAGATAAAACACTACTAGGGTTGACACAAACCCTATTACACAGATAATACCGAGAAACCCTAATCCAGTGAGACCCTAAATACCCAGAGGACTTTCAAAACATATCTTGTCTTGCAGTGCATTCGTCGATTCTGTGATGAGAAGGATGTGAAGTACATTTGCAATGGTTTAAAGTACTTATCGACAATCGTTGCAGTTATTATACAGACTGTTTATGAAATGAAAAAGGGAAAGACCTCCTGGATGGTGGTAGCTTTGATTAGCTCCGCTGTTGCAACGACAATGAATACGTACTGGGACATTGTAATAGACTGGGGCCTTCTGCAAAAGACATCAAAGAACACGCATTTGAGAGATAGGCTTCTAGTTTCACACAATACCGTATACTTTGCAGCCATGGTAAGGTTTGTGTTACAGTTTCTACTATTAATTCCCAGTATGCTTATGTGTTTTGGAATTTAAACTGCGTACCATTCATAAAATGACAATAACAACCATCATTTGCCTTCCTAGAGGTCATTCGTCGTGGCATTTGGAGCTTCTTCAGGTATTTTTTCTCATGAAATTCAACTTGAGACTTTTTGCAGTTTTTGTCTTCAGTCGTTGCATCCTTTAAGTAGCTTATGCTTGAGAGGTTAACGTGTTCAATTTAATCAGGTTAGAGAACGAGCACTTGAACAATGTAGGCCAGTACTGCGCTTTCAAGTCAGTCCCTCTTCCCTTTGGTTACTACGATGAGGACGCTGACAAGGATGACTAAACATGACAGTCTCGCTCCATTCATACACCTTAGTATAATAAAGCAACAAACCAAGAACAAACGTACGATCTGTGGTTAATTATATATATGGAATAGCCTTGTTCATTGTTGATCCTGAACAAAATTCTATGGTTCTGGTTCATAAGAAATTGTATACAGGCAAAAGCATATATATTTACTAGTCCATCAATTTGTCGACCTGTTAGTTATTCGACGGAGTATACCATTTACAAATTTCCGAAAAAATCAGAACAAAAGAACTACTGATGCAACTCTGCGTTCAGCAAAAAATTAATGGAGAAGGGGAGAAAGAAAAGAAAGAAAAGTTTCAGCAGCTTGTAGACAATTTGAGATGTTTGCAATTTTCTTTGCCTACAAAAGTTTGCCATGGTCTTCATCATAGTTGAAGGG